ACTATTTTTCATTAATTAAAATAGCATTGTTGAAAAAATAGCTTTGTGTTGAATTTGGTGCCCCCTGTGGACAAACTCTAACATCCTATTTTTCACTGATTTTGTTCTGTCCCTGTGTAAGTTTGCTTATTACCAAATCCTGCTGTCTTTGATATTTAATAAGTGTCTGACCTTGTAGAGAAACTTCTGTATGTAATGTTTACAGAAATGAAGGAGAATTTAGGTCAAGAGTCTCCAAATACAGTGGTGGGCTTCATTAGATTAGGAGCAGGGTGGCACTGGGTTGAGTACGCTATCAACCGCAGGATAAAACAGAATGAAGTGTTTTTGCTTTTCAACATGGTAGATGTTGAGATTCTGAGAAATCACATCATGGAAATTTGAGTTGTGCAAGTGCTTCACGACCAGCTGTATATCACTGATAAAAAAAAAAAAAACAACATCATGTCAACATTCAGGACCACTCCTGGTTTCACTCCTCCTTTTAATCATCAAAATTGTGTTCATCAAAACTCAACTCAACTGGATTAAACCTTGTATGTAGGAAATGCAGGTTTCTAACCTTTCTTCAACATCAGGAAGCATCATCTTCTTATAAATACAGCATCCAATCACAATGCCATCTTACAGCATCACTCTGATCAGGCTTTTACAACATTATAATCATGCTGATTTAGTACATAGCTTTCCATAGGTTTCTGAAACTGTCATGAAGTCCAACGATCAATCAATCTGTGAGCAAACACAGAGGGGGAGCTAAAGCAGCTATTAAGTGTCCTGGTAAACAGCTATAACAGGCTCATCTGTCAATCAACTTAGCTGCGCCCTTCTTTTTGCAAAATTCTGCAAAACAACATGAGTTTTTTTTTAACATTCTTTTACCAGTTTTTAGGAATATAGAAATGAGCTATTTAGACCGAAACTGCTATTGAACCTGGCTGTGAATATAATCATATCTGCACTTAAATCTGCTATTCCAATACGCATATGACTTTAGTAGCCTGCCTCATGTGGACACTTAATGACCTGCAGTTTTAAAGCTTCCTTTTGGTCAGAGGAATAGGTCAGTAGATGTTTTGCTTTTGTTTTTGCTTTTTTTCCATTTGCAAGTCTTGCTCCACAAATTAGTCAGCCTATATAAAGTCCCAACCCTTGCTGCTGAAAGCTTAAGTCACTGCAGAGGTGAAAGAAACCACTAGAGCTTCCTGAAGGTCCAAACCTGAGTATTTCACCCCCTACATTTGCGAGGAAACTTGTGGTCTGTGACCTTGTGTGGACTTTTTTTCTTTTTCTCTCTCTCTTTACTTTCGTTTCTTCATATAGGACCTTCCAGAAAGGTAGCTAAATGCTGACCAAGATGTGTTGCATCTGCATGTGTGCGAGGGTGTGTGAGTGAGTTTACACCCTCGATTTGTAAATAATGTAGGTAATTATAATACTCTAAACATTTGGTGTTGGGAGTTATGAACGGCCTATGGGCTTAACAGTCAGGGCACAAAAAGGCAGAAATGCAAACAAAAAAGAGTTTTAAGAAAGCAAAAATGTCTTGAGAGGATGATAGCACTGAGCATTATCTTACAGAGACATACCTCTTGGTTTCACTGCATCTCCAACTTTGTTGGTAAGTTGAATATCCAGAGCCTGCAGATTCATTTAATTGTCAACTACAGGAAATAATAAGCGCATAAATCAGTTTGCAAAAGTGTGTGTGGGTGTATGCATGCTTGTGTGTGTAAGATAAATGCACAGAGCAATGCAGATGGCAGCTTTGAAAACACCTGTCCCCCTAAAGATAAGAAAAGCAGATACCTGGGAACTGGAAAGGGTGTTAAGAGGCTCTTATCAGAGCTGTAGTATCTTCAAAGTCAGCGGCATGAGAGTTTTGTGATGACACACACACACACACACACACACACACACACACACACACACACACACACACACACACACACGTCTGCACACTACAACCAGGGTTTTGCTATAAGAGAGTTTGTCTTCAAATCTATCTATCTATCTATCTATTTATTTATCTATCATCTGCTGTATTAAGCGATATGCAAATGATGCACAGCTATAAAGAAATACCCCACGACCTACATGCTGCATCATTACACACTGAAACAAACATGTTTTTTCCTCACACACAAAGTAGTCAAGCCTTGACTAAGTAAACCGGATTTTCTGCCTTAATTTCGAATTAATTTTACTACACACTTTCACTTGATACATTTTAAGTAATTGTTCTCACATTCACACAAATTTTGAAGTTTCACCCCCCACACCACACACACACACACACACACACACACACACACACACACACACACACACACACACACACTTGTTTACACATTATCAGATTCATCCTTTATTAACAAATTCATGTTTCTTAAACACTGTCTGCAAAAATACAGAATTGCATCATCTCAATGAACACACAGCCCACTTTTGCAAAGGCTGCATTTAGAAGTGACAATGTAATATGTAACCTTCATATTTTTAACACCTTTACCACCATGTGGGTGGCTCTCTGTGGATGAGTGAAACTTAATTTATTTTTCTTTTCTTTTTTTGGGTGGTGGTGGTGGGGGTGGGGGGGGGGTGTTAGAGGCCCTATAGAAAGTAATCGGATATAAACGATTACACATCAAGCACAGTTGTTCTGAAGTGGGTAAAAAAAGATATATTTCATTACTGCATGAAATCACTCACAGTAAATAGTACCTGTATTATTTTAAATGACATCAATAGTGTGTACTATACCTTTTTTATTGGCTTTTCCATTACTTTTCATAGAATGCCTAAAAACAGTGGATGTGAAGAGGGACCTGGCATTTCACACACATCACTGTTGCCTTCTGTCAAAAATAATGGCAGTGCCGTTGGCACTGTGTTTGTCTTGGCCTCTCTCATCGTAGTGAATGTCTTCTGCGACTGCATGGCACTGCTGTTGGACAGAGCGCTGTGTATAGAGGAGGCTGTCTTGGGTACATCACCTGGTACACCCTGACCACATCTCCCCTGAAGGCAAGAAGATCCAATGGCTTTCCTGTGGCCTTGGACTTCCTGTAGAGAAGCCATGCATTCTGCATTGCCACATCTGGCATGAACATGAAGAATGGAGTCCACCACTTCTTGGAATGGATTTTGATGCAGTAGTTGCTGATTTTTTTATCCATTGGATCAGGGGAGGCTTTAATTGTCACCAGGCAATGAATTGTTGTGAATTAGAATATTTAGCATTTTTTAACATTGTGTTAAAATTTAGAGTATTTGAGATGGAAAGATACTTTTTATTTACTTATCTATTTATTATTTGATTGTGGTTGAGCACTGAGATTGTTGAACATTAGACACAAGATATATAGATGATATGTGGACTTTGTTTTTTAACTGCGATAAAGAATTGAGATTGTTGAACATGTTATTGTATTGTTGACTATTGACATTGATAAACATTTTGAAACATTCTTGACTGTGTATGACGGACATCAGAGAGGAACATGGTCGAGGTGCTACATTTTTTATAATTTCTCCCTAAAAGAAAATCAAAGAACAATTTTTCAACTGATCCTTACATTAGCCTATGTGGTCCTTAAGTGCATAAAAGATTTTGAACATGTGATCAAGGGAACCTGTGTTTTCACTAGTGTTCATGTGACAAGTGATAAAATCAGAGAGTATATGTGCCCAGATACTAAATATAGTATGTTAACAGAAATGGCTGTATCTCAAAAACTACAAGGACTTATATCAAATTCTTGGTACCGTTGGATTCAGAACAAGTTATATTTTAATAATATGTGCTTTCATCCAGAGTAAAACCATCATGTAATATGTCAACTTAATGGTAAAACCATTTTTGTGATTTTTTGCATTTTTGACAGTAAGTCGACTTTGTGTACAAAATAAGGCATGATACATTTGTCAAATAGATTTTTTATTGTATGTGTGTATAGCCACATGTCTTGACAGTATCCATAGAAAATTTTATGTCGCTATCTCTGACAGAAAAAAAATCTGTGGGGTTTTTCCTTAACATACTATATGTAGTATCTGGGCATATATGATAAACTATAAGTAAATAATTGAAGAAAAAGATGCTGCTGAGAGAACAGTGAACTGAGTGTCTGTCCAAGGGTGGTTCTTGGACTTAAGGACATTCGGGGCTGAGCCCGGACCCCCTATCCACTCTGTAAAATAAAGGAGAAGTCAATCCGTATTTGCAACAGACAGAATATTTGACTTGGAGAAATGATAAAGTCCTCTGTGGTTCCTTAGTAAATCAGCAGGAACAGCACAGCAACAATGCATTCTGGGAGAGTCTAAACTAAATCATCCAAATGAGGTAAGGAATCATTATATGCCATAACTTAAAGTGTAAAACAGGGAGTGTTAAGAATTCAACACCACTACAACCTCTGTACCAGTTTTTTATTGACTGATTAATTGAATTACTTTTAGGTCAGAAAACATTTGAAAACAAATGTTTACAGTTTTGTTGTCTGAAACTAGACTTAAAACTTATAAACTAAGACTAGATCAAAAATAGCTGCCATAATTAACACAGATGAAAGGGGATCAGTGTTAATTTCAGTCAATTATATTATTGTAAAAAAAAAACTCCTAACAGGAGCTTTAAATTACCAATCGTCTCCTGCGAGTAGGTTGTGGCTTGAGTTAATTTTAGTGACCCCTGTGGACAAAGCAATATATATTTCGAGTTGAAAGTTGTTTGGTCAACTTGCAAGTAATCATATCATTTAAGAGAAAGAGGTTTAAGACTCCATGGAAATGATTAACCTTAATACTGATGGACGTGTTTGCTTTACATGATGAGCCTTAAACTCCTCACTGGAGCTTTAAGATAAACAAGAATGCACAAAGTTAAAGTATTAAACATTAATTTAGATTCAGTGTGTTCAGCTATGTAAATATAACAATGATGTCTTTGATGTACAGTATAAGGAGGAATAAAAAAAACCACAAGAGCACCAACATTTGTGAATTCAGGTCTGTTTAATAGCATGTAACAGTGACAATAGGAATACTGTGCACACCTACCACACACAGAAACCAAACCACAGGCTTCACAGTGAAGTTATCTGGATGCAACACTGGGGTGATGTGACCAAGCACAGGCGCCCTCAGCAAAACGAAAGGGGGTTGTCTAGCATGTGTGTGTGTGTGTGTGTGTGTGTGTGTGTGAGAGAGAGAGAGAGAGAGAGAGAGAGAGAGAGAGGGTGTATATGTGAAAGGATGTAGAGAGTGTGAGAGAAGACGAGGAGGGGGGGCAGGATTCAGGGTGGTGGGAGCACAGCAGTGCAGAGAGATAAGAAGTTTGTGGGATTGTAGAGACGGGGAGAAAAAAAAGCTGAGACAACAGATGGATGTAGAAACTCTTTATGTGTGAGTTGTTTGTCTCGCACTTTACAGCTTTAACTCAGTGGTGGTCACATTTAAGTGGAACTACTTTTTAAAAATTGGCACATTATTCCTTCTCATGAGAAGTATTTATTACTGGATTCAGTTACACACACACAACATAAGCGCTGGTTATGAAAATGTTTCTCTTACAAACAGAGTATGATTGTTTATAGTCAACAAAACAGTTACAGAAATGCATTTTGTTGCATAAACACTTGGCGGTAATTTCTCTCTTGTCTGCAAGACTCAAATACTTCAATCTGGACCTGATTTACATGCAATTTGAGTTCAAACAGCCTCTTCTAATCTTACAAGCATGAGTTCATAATGTGCATCTGTCATGTTGGACCCTTATCCACTCACCACGTACCATCTGCTGGGTGCAGCTCTTTACCTTTCTTTTATCAAAGCAGCCGTTAGCAGGGGATTCCCGATTCCTTCCAGAGTCTAAATCCAGCAATTTCTGGAAGAGAAGTCCGGTAAAAATGTGGTGAAAAGGTTGGAGGTGAAAGGTCGCAGTTGGAAAGCGTTCCTCAAAATGTGCTCAGTGCTTAGAGAGCAGGGCCGGAGCCTGAATGCGACTCCACACAACACTGATACCCAAATAAGCAGCGAGGATCCCTGTCCAGGTAGCGCATGCGTGTTTGCGCTGTTGCTGGTAATACATGGACACACAAGAGCAGGAAAGGTGCACATATACAGGCTCAGTCACTACTGCACATGCTGTATCATTGCACATACACGCACAAACAAACAGGGATACCGATAAGTCTGGCACCTGGCTTTTTTTGATCATGTACAGCGATGCTCTTCGGCAAGAAGGTGAGAAACAACACAGCAAAAAATGTTTCACATAAGCTTCCTAAAAGCCAACATTCATGTTCACACCACACATGCACACACACCCACAACACGACTCCGCTGAGGTAAGCAAATCGTGTTTGTGTTGTCAAAACCAGCTTTCTGTCAATCCTCATTTCTCACTCTACCACACACACACCACACACACACACACATACACACACACGTATAAAAAGTACCTGTCCAATCCGGTCAAATAAAAGCATTAGAGCCTGATTTCGCTGCAGCAGAGTGGACATGACGGCAGGATGAGACGAGCGTGTGGGAAAAGAGAAGCAGGAGTTATGCAAAAACAATCACACGACTCGACTTCGTCACACAGTCGCCGCGTCACTGATGGGATGAGTTAGAAATGAGAGACAGTGCTTGATCTCTGTTAAAAATGCTCTGTCATGCATAAGGTGAATACAAGTTCTGATCCTCGTTAGCGGAGAGGAGTGAAATTTGTGCGTATAATATCTGAAATGATCAAGAGTGTGTGCACATTTGTTTGTGTGTTTGAACATGTGCACCACCAGCAGTGAGGGTACAAACGTTTTTAGATAATTTCCTCAGAATCCACAGGGTCACACCTGATAAATGTGTCAAAGAGTATGAGATTCTCACACGCATGCATACACACACAGACAGACACACTCATTGTGATAAACAAAGGGTCCTGTGGGAGGAAGTGTGAGAGAGGGAAAGTACCTCATCAAGACAACAACAACAGCAGAGGTGCAAGGAGTGACAGCTGCTCACTGAGAGGCACATGAGGGATCACCTCTGCACCACAACAACAAACACAGCAGCAAAGTGCACACAGCAGGGCTACACACACACACTTTTGAACTTCTGTGCACGGAGCAGATGTTGGCCGTGATGAAAAGTGGACTAGCAGAGTAAGCAGAAGAAGTGAAGCCAGATAGTTGTAACTGTACACAACACAAACTGCACAAGGAAGTGGTTGTGGCCTCTGTGGCATCATTATTAATCTGTAAGGGCCCCTTTGAAACCTGAGGTCAGCATTTTGTCTGTCCCCATCTTGAATTTTGGAGCAAGAAGTGACCATATTTAGACAACAGGGTAAAAAATTTTCACAAACTTCTATTTGCATTTCACGGTTGCCATTGCAGCATCTTGGAGAACAATGAAAGCCCACCTTTTTTTATATCGCTGGAAAGTTTCGTCTGTTCTTTTGTCCTTTTTTCATCTGTCATCGGTTTTGTTTACTACCTGGCTTTCTAGCAGCGCTTCTGTGCCATTCAACCTGCAGCTCAACAACTTGCGAACACTGGAACACAGTCAGAACACTCCAGTTCGATTGAGTTGTTTACGTGGAAGAGAAAACAGATCCCCAACTGCATAATGAGGGTATGTTCACTGAACTTGTGTTTTTTTTTTAACATGTGAACATACTGATCGCCATTTTAGCATAACCCTACTCACACTGACTTGCTCTGTGTTGGTTCTAAAAACCAGCTCTTGTGCGTGAACAGCACCTCAAAGGGCTATTTTGGAGCTGACTGTGCTGGCTCTTGATGAGCCGTAATACCTGGATCAATAGAAAGTGTCTGAATTCCCATTGATACTTATTTACCCTAGAAAGAAGAGGGGTCCAAATCCTGATCTTACAGGGTAAGATGGATCACAGACCCCTTGAGCAAGATCATACACCCTTTGTAGATTTGAGGTAATTTGTGAATCTTTAAGGATAAAATCTTTTACTGGACTTTGGTGATTAGGACCTTTTCTTTTGCACTGACAGACGGAGCAGGTTTTTATATCAACATATTGTTAATTTGACTTCTGTTTGTTTGAAAGAGAAATACCAATTAGCAGTCGTCAACAATATCATCCATGTTAAAGGTTAATGAAGTCCATAAAAGATGCCTTTTCTTGCATTTTTGTACTCCACTCTTCATCAGCAGAGGTTGCTTCTTGGTTGTAAGCCAATAAATGCCAAAAACATAAAAGGGTGTGTTTGCTTCATCCTCACCTTAACAAAGCTTCTGCTGACAAAACAAATGTCATCTCCATTCAGATATTCTTAGGAGTGCAGCATTGTGCATGACATGCACAGACTAAGGCCTATACACCCAAATACTCATCGGCTTATTATTCTTAATCCACCAATGCCCTCTGTTTCACTTTGCTTTCCCTTTACAGACAATGTGTTTGTGGCATCACATTGCTGCTTTGACATTTATCACTCCAATTTCACAAAGAGGCCCCGTTCTTTTGTGGGTTTGATAGGAGCAAAAAGGCCCTGCCCAGCTCCACCCATCCTGAGCACAAACCACACACACACACACACACACACACACACACACACACACACACACACACACACACACACACACACACACACACACACACACACACACAACACAGACACTGTATCTGACCACAGGAGGTACCACAATTGACTCCAATCAAACCCCTCCCCCTTAACCATAGCCACACCCAAAGGCCTTGTGCTGGTCCACCCCTGTTTTTATGTAATGCAATTTAAGTTTCATTAATTTCTACACAAAACAAAACAAAAGAAAAAATTCATTTTTTTTTACTATCGCTGCTTCACTTTTAGAATCACACTCAGTCATTTATCAATGTGCATGTTATTGATAAGTGAAAGTTGTGAATCACTTACCTCGGGGGATCTTTCCACATGAAGCAGAGTCACACGTATGCAAACAACTGCCCTCAGGGGAAACCACCTTAATGTGAATGGCTTTAGATAAATGTGTTATTCATTATAGTGCTTGATAGCAATAAATACAGACCGGAAACCCCCCCTCACCTGTATCAGTAGCCCCACGTAGAGGTATTTGGTCTGACTCAGTTGTTGTAGGTGTAATTGTTGGCACATTAGTCAGGTGAGTTGTAAAGTACAGGTGCACAGCTCTCTGGAAAGCTAATTGCAGGGTGAGGAGGAGTTTTTCATATGCAAACATATGAACACACACACACACCTACGAACAGGTGGTGTCATGCGATTTTATAACCCAGGGTGATGTTCTTGTAAAGGGGGTCTCTTACCTGCGGCATAAAGATAACCACCTCTGACACCCACGCTGAGTTATCACTTACTGTAAATTTACATATGTGAATGAAATACTTGCACAAATAATCTGGTGATGTGTTTAAACAGAATGCAGAGCGTCCTTTTGATGGGCTTAGTCACACAAATTTGACGACTACACTGTTTAAACAACCATAGCACAAACATTAGCTAAGGAGAAGATGGGTATTAAGGAGTCCCTGAAAAATGTGGCCGCGCCCCCTTTTATGGGCTGTAAAATCCCAGGCTCTAAATTTGTAAATGCAGCTACCTACGTATGACCAAATAATTTATTACTGAATGACTTGGTATTTATTAATTAATGTTACACAACAGATTTTGTCATTTTTAATGCTCCTCCTACCAGCATACTTAGTCTGTGTGCATTGGCTAGCTGTGTTTGTCAGGCTGGCATTTGAAACTCTTCGGGCACATTTTTTGCATAATCACTTGTCATGGCATGGCATTACATCACATTCATTAGTTGTCATCTTAAAGCCTTTTCTATCCTGAATACAACTGTTTGTGAGCTAAGCAGCAAACTAGAACAGGATAACAGCCTGATCCGAATTCAAACGCGTCCGCACTGAGTTTGCCCGGAGCAGTTTTGCTCCATCCGACAGCGTGCATCATGGCCCACTGGAATTGCTTGGAACATAGCGCAGAGCTGTGGAGCCGCACTATACAAGCTTCACTATCTGATATGAACATATGAAGTCTGCACCGTATCAGTCCCTCCCTCCTCTTGGCTGCTGGTCAGATACAAAGCATCACTCGGCCAATGCAAACACCGCAGCCACAATGATATTGGGGACAATAATTATGCGGGGATATGAGAACATTGAATCCACTGAGACACAGTGATATAAGCACATGAGCACTTTACATGACCAGCTAAACACACAGCCAGATCACTGACACACAAACACATGAAGATGACTCAGAGCTAATTCCTGATTCAAGTCAAGTGATCTACCTGTATTAGTCAGTGTAAATATTCATGTTTTTATTTGGATGTAAAAGTAATTTTGGTACAGTCCTTATGAAATAGCTATTTTTCTTAAATGAAGTTTTTTTCAGTGTTTTGAAATCTGCTGATCTAATTTATATTCTAAGTTGTCTGGTAAACTACCACATCCCTCATGTTTTTTCCGTTCAAGCTGTTAATGAAATTAATATATTTAAGTAAAACATAAAAAACTTATGTATTGCTATCGTGCGGTCATTACTAAAGTTGGTATAACTAGAGAAGCAAGCGGTCTACAAAATTCATCTCTCGAGCGGGTGTCTAACTCGTTGTTACGATGTGTTTGACCAGCTCTCTAAATTAATTTTATGCTGGAATATCCCTTTAAGCATTGTCCATTTAGGGTGAACCTTGAAAACAAGTCCTGGGATTACGCCCCCATCCGTGTATCTCATGTTCTGTTCTATGCAGTTAAGTTTGACCCTCCAACTTTGCAACATTATCAATATGTATTTAAGTATAGATCAGCAGACTAGATCTCCTCTGTAAAATGAACAAGAATTTGAGCAGTACCTCTGAGGACATGGATACTGTTTTACATGGGTAAGGTTCACACTTGAAATCATAAATTCTTGGATATCTTTTGAAGTTTACCAAAAACTTCGCATTTGTTCCATCTTAAAACAAACATCTAATCAATCTCTATAAAGTTAATCTTTATGGCCATGTTTATTGTCAGAACAGAGTAGCTAAATAAGTTCATTAAGACAGTAATTTTATGAGACAGTAAGTTTTGTCCACACTGTCAAAAAAGCTCTACTCTTGCATTTATATGTGTCAGTGGTGGTTGAGACTTTTGAGGGGTGCAGAAAACAAGCTGTTCTTGAGTCTGCCAGAGGACGACGTTTTCTGGGAGGGCATGGTGAGGATTGCAAAACAGGAAACACAGGGCCTTGATAACTCTCACACACACAGGCAAAAACAGCGTGTGGGCATGTTGCGTAGGACACTTGGAAATGGGTTTAGAAAGTGTGTCACAGCAGCAGCAGCAGAGCCTCTTCTGATGCTCCTCTCCATAGACCCCAGTAAGTACAGGATGTGTGTGCAAGTTTCGAAGTTGGAGATGTGTTAAGTGCTTACTGTTCATGCCAAGATGAGCACAAGGTGTGATTGATTGCACCGAGGATGTCGGTCGCTCTGCAGGACGAACAGGTACCAAAAAAAAAAAAGAGGCCTAAGTGGGAAAGACGAGAAACAGACATGAGGGCAAAACATCATAAATGAAAGTAAAGGTGCGGTAACATGAGGAAGAACTCATTTAGATGGATGAGCACCTCCCTCACTTCATCTGTCTCTGTACCTTTTGCTTTTTGGCACACACAAACACGCACAGTCAACACAGGCCCGTCTTTTCTGTGAATTCTGGACAAGTCTGAACACGATCATCCGCCTATGATGACTTTAACACTCACACTACACACATGTTGAACCAGCACTTAGCTTAGTGTAACAATTCACCCGAAACATGAGAGGCCGGTGTCACGAGGGTGTGAAATCCTACATCTTTGAGTGGTACAGTCGCACAACTATCACTGTTTACTATATGCAAGTAAGAGAGACTCTTTATTTCTGTGCTTTAAGTCTGTTTCTCTTACTTGGTTCTCATCGTCAAATTATAACATCTTTGTGGGATGTTTGTTGAACTAACTGACTCACTTCTTGACAACACATCTAGATACATCTGACCAAAAGAGCAGTAGTGCCACACACTCTGGAAAAGCTGTCCGTTGGAGGAGAATTCAATAAGTCTGTCCAAGTACAAGACATCCAGTTAGACAAAAACATGGTTTGGTTGGTTTGCTTAATTCCTCTGTGAGCAAAACCTAAAACATCTAAAAAAAAAAAAGACATGATCAAACTTTAGCTTTGGAATAAGTTCTGATCATCTTTTCTGGTCACAGATGTCTTTTTAATGTTTCATTCACAGACAAAATGCTCTCAGGGTGAACAATATCAAAGTTGAGTATTAAATGGAGCCTGGTAGCTGACAGAGATCAGTGTCAGTCTTGAATGCTTGAATTGGGTCGAAGGCAGTATATGTTTTTTGCTGATGACTCTGATGCCAGTTTATACGATTAAGTATAGTGAGGTGCAAATTGTGGTTTATACCGCATTTGAGAGAATGTTTGATAAATCTACTCAATAAAATCCAGGCTAAGCAAAACATTTGAGACATGTCTACAAATATTACTCATTCAACAACTTTAACTATTTGTCATTGTCCAAAATTGGTTTTAGTAATCTATTTAACGTTTATCAAACTTGTTCACATTTTTAGCCAATACCACATGAATATAATAATAAAGGCGTTTTCACTATGAAAATGACTAAAAATTACGTGGTGGGCCATAAAAAAATTAATACAAATAAAGAGCAGAACAATGAGTAATAGAGATTTGATACCATCATTTAGAGGAACTTATTGTACTAACTGTGGTGCAAGTGGATCCGTGTGTGTGTGTGTGTGTGTGTGTGTGTGTGTGTGTGTGTGTGTGTGTGTGTGTTAGTGGTGAAGGGTGGGGGGATTCTCTGGAACAGGATGTACTGTAGCTGTGCAAACGTCTCAAAGCTCCTTGAATGTTGTGTGTTTGCACACACAATGAAACAACTAAAAAAGTGAACTACACAGCTGTAGGCCTCAGGTCCGAGGTCTGCAGCGTTTAGAGGGGACTTCACAAACCAGTTGGTGATCAAAGTCTGAGGAGCCACCAGATAAATGTCTCCATCAGGGATTTACTCTATCATAACAAGGACCTTCAGGCACAAACAAAACCCAGTACTTCGCAGATCTCCAGCTGAATGCTCAACTTGGCAAGCAGCACAGTCGAATGCAAAACTATGCAAATGAGATGCAAAGAGTGAGTCAGAGCTGGGATGGAAAATTTCTTCCTGGCTCTGCATCATTTTTTCACTCAAGTGAGATTGTGAGAAATAGTGCAGCTTTCTTTTCAGACTTTTGCACTTTAGTCAAAAGTAGTAATAAGTAGTATTTACTGCTTTGTGCTTTGCGTTTGTGCAGAGCTGGCTCTGGTGTTTCACTGAAGAACAGCTGTTTACTAACCCTGTGAATCCTTGGTTGATGATCACAGAAAACTTGTGTTGGTCTTTGGCTTTATAGTCAGTGATACATCTTGTGATCTCATAAGCTCTCACACTGTTAGGAGGGTAAGCTGTAAGCGCTCCCTTTAGCATCTTTTTGCATGACTGGATTGTTGTGCTGAATCTCCAGATTGATGATTTCTCATGTAGTTTCTCATATTTTTTGTATTCCCTGATGTGACGGGTCACTGCAGTCTGGACTTGACCGGACAATCCTCTGGAAAATTTCCCTGTGAAGACAGGGCGAGCCAACAAGAAGTAAATGTCCATGCAAAATCACTTTTTGCGAGTGGGCACAGTCTATATCACGCAACAGTTATATGAAGCACTTAGATAAATGCAAAAACTGTCCTTATAGTATAGGTTTGTGACTGTGAGCGACATGCAGGAAATCTGACAGGTCTTTGTATGCGCGTCATTCTACGAAGCTTTAGACACAGGCAGCAAAAACTTGTTTACTCAGCATGAGAGTGAATGATGACATTGTGTTCTCATATGCAAAGTAGTGATTGGTCCTACACTGGGAGGTCAAAGGTAAGGCACAGTTAGTAACCTTGCCTGAGGTCTCTTTGCTGAGCAGGTGCTCATAGACACCAGCTTAAACAGTCTGTATGCTGCATGAATGAAGATATATACTCATGTTTATATACAGATTACATGTCTTAGTTAACTTTTTGTCCTTGATACACTATAATTCCCAACAAGCACTTTCTATAAATCCCCTGAATGTTCCTTAAAAGAGCAGGAAGAGGTGGTGAAGGAAAGAAATCCCTGGAGATCCAGCTGATAAATGGAGACAAAGAACAGGTTTGACAGCTCTGACTCTATCCTCTTCACACAGACAGTGAGGGATGGATGGAGGCGTCGGGAGGAAGAAGGGAAGCGGTGAAAAAAAAAGTCACAGTACCGGCAAATCCAGGTACATTAGTGGGTCATGAACCACACCCTACCTTTTTATTAGACTGTGTCTGTGTTTGTTTGTCACAAGGTAAACAGCGACATGCAGGTGTTGTCATGGCTTCTATGTCAATTATATAAAACTTCCAAACTGAACTGATGGCTCAAATCGGAGGCCTGGAGATGTCCCAATAATGCCTATCTTTGAGTTTTTCTCATAATGCTTACACCTAATCCTGTGCTCCTGTACCCCCAACAACATCCCACTCTCCTTTTCCCATGCTTCCATCTCTTATCCCTCTCAGTATCTGTCTCCCTGCCCGTTCTGTCTCTGCTGAATCTTTTTTATTTTTTCCTTCTACCTGGACCGAAAAACGCCCGAGGTTTTTCTCGTGGGAAACTCTTGGAGTGGTATGTTGTTCTGTGAGCAGGCGGTGAGAGTGGAATCCCGTTTTTCTGGGTCTGGTCTCACTCCCTGTTCCAGGATCCCATCCCGGGGCTCGGAGTCACGATCGGCGTCGTGTCCAGACTCGCTGTAGGTGTTAGGAAACTCTCGCCTGATCTTGCTCAGCCGGATCCTGAAGATTGGATTTAATACTACACCCTGAGTGCTCTTTTTCATTCTGACTATATTTCTTTTCTTGCATCACTCCCCTTTTTTATTTTGTGTCTTTTAGTCATTATTTCTGTTTCTTTCATTTCTCCTTCTGCAAGTCACTCCTGCTTTTCTTTTAATTCAAATAAAAAATTTAAGGTAATATTAAAACTGAAAAAAAGACAAAATAAGACCTGTGAATTTCTGTAACTGTTATATTAAGGGTATCATTATTATTGTTATTATTATTATAATCATTATTATTAATTTATGATGGGACTCATTTTAAGAAAAGTATTGTTTGTTATTCAAAAAAGATATATGTGTATAGAGTTAAGTTATATTTATAGTTACGTATATGTATGTATGTGTATAAATCCAAGTTATGGTCAAACACACTGTAACACTGAGTTAGACACCCCCTTGATGAATGTTGCAGACTGCTGTAGTTATACCAACTTCAGCAACGACCATACGATAGCAATACACAGCCCTGATGAGTCGATCACCGAGTGCAGTGGAGTTTCGCAGCTCAAGGAAGAAAATTTATGATCATTACTTCATGGAAATGCAATCAGACTGAGACACTAAGGCAGAAGAACTATCATGTCTGCAAAATGATTATTATGATGATTTTTACTTCAGGAAATGATCCACTGCACTCAGTTATCAACTCGTCAGGGCTCCCCCACAAACAAGCGGCTGCTGAAGGAGAGAGGGTGAGTTGTATTTGGTCACTTCGCTTAAGAAAGCATCTCTTGAGGGGTGTCTAACTGTGTCTTTGACCATAACTTAATAACATAAATCCAGTCTCACTAAAAATATAAGATACACTCAGTTGTTTGCGGGCTTTCAGGCTGAGAAAAGTTTAAAAACTTTGCCTGTGTAATGATTTCTACTGCATTCAACAATGTGTAGTTTCTAAGCAACCGTGTAGCTCCCTAATACCATGTTGTTATCGCCACACTGCCAGATAACAACATGGTAGTTGAGCACAGTGAGGTATGGATGGACGCACTGACACTATAGAAGTGGGTGCTTCCTTCTTGGATAGCCGTCCTCTGAGTAAAATACTAAAACACAGCTAAAAAAATTTCACACTGGTATTAGTCACCCTAATGTTTAGGGAGCAGCCAGCTTGGTAAAGGACAGAAAAGGTATAGTAAATGTGTCTCTACAGGGTGCAAAGGCACACCACATAGGCAGCAGTGGCGGCTGCTGGTCTTTCAAGGAGGGGAAGCTCATTTTTCTGGCCTACATCATAATTGTATTTGTTTATTAGTATGTAACAGAACAGAGTCACCAAACATGACGGCAGTCATTTTTAACAAAGACAAAAGTCGCTGAGGATCGGTAAGGTCTCCGGAGCAGTTAAGAACAACGGAATGAATCACTTGGAAAATGCTCTGGTAGATGTTTTATTCTTCAAGATCGCTGATTCGCTTGTTTAGCTGTCAATCAAAAAAGGATTTCGCCTCAGACAGCTCATCCAATCATGGATGCAGAAGCTCGGAGTCCGGGAGAAAGTCGGGACCGCCCTCTCGTCATAGAACTCCAGTGAAGCTGAGCTTCCGATGGGCGGGACAAAGCCCAGCATTTATCCAATGAGCGTCTAGTTTCGCTGCTGGAACAACCCACTTTGAGCTTCCACATTGAAGTCAGCAGAAGCCCAGCGTCTGGCTGTTTAAAGCGCTGAGGCGCTGCGAGGATGAATGAGAACGAAGTTATGCCGGTTACCTGTGATTATCAGCTTCTTATCACAGTGTCTGAACAAAAGATGAAGGCTTTCCAGCGCGTATTTAGTTCATGAAATGTACACACAGCAGTACGTATTTCACTACTTTTTCTTTTTTTGGGGGGGTGACATTTTAAGGGAAGCCGAGCTTCCCTTGCAGTCTTAGAGCAATCGCCACTGATAGGCAGGCAGCCTTAGTTTGATTTCACCCTTTGGCCTCTTCCCTGCATGTCATTCCCATCTCAATTCCCTGTTTCCAGCTCCATCCACTGTCCTACATCAATCGCTAAATGCCCAAAATTAAATCTTAGAAAAAAAAATAGAAACAATACAAATTAAAAAGTCTCCTCTCAGACAATAAACAGTGTGGAGTGTGTCTTATTTATGGTGTTTGTGCAAAGACTAAAAAAAAATCTGAAGGAAAAGTTTGACCTCGCTTACCTTTTCAGGTTTGCACTCTTTAAAAGGGCTCGCCACTCTGTGTCCACCAAACAAATCGCACTATTTTAATCATCAATAGTCACTTAATGACATGTTTGATGTCATTACTGTACATTCTGTGTATGAACATAACTGTAAATAACTCCAACTACGCACTATGTTATTACAGGTTATTGTGGGATGCAAACAGCATAATAAATAAGGTGTTTATTCTTAGGTTTATGCTGAGATCAAGGAAGAACAAGCAACAGGGGTAGGAATATAGGTGAATGTAATTGAAAGAACTTATGTTTCTTTCAATTAGACAACTGGCCAAAATAAAGCCAGTCTCTACACAACAGCACTTTGAGACAGTAATTCATGCATTTGTTACTACACGGCTGGATTACTTTAACGCACTGTATGTAGGGGTTAGGTCGTCATCCATCACCCGCCTCCAGATGGTTCAAATGCAGATGCACATCTTTTAACCGGCACACGTAGACACAACCACATTTCCCCCATTTTAGACTCATTTTAGTGGCTGCCCATACGTTCTAGGATTCATTTTAAAATGATTTTATTTGTTTTTAAATCTTTGAATGGTCCTACCTTTCTGAGCTTCTTTACCTGTATACACCCACCTGCACTCTCAGGTCAGCTGTTCAGCTGTTCCTGACCGTGCCAAAAACTAGGCTGAAGCTCAGGGGGGACCATGGATTTGCTGTTGCAGCTCCAAAACTATGGAGCGATCTCCCGAAAAACTATAGATTGGCCTCTTCTCTGCCGGTTTTTAAGTCTCTTCTTAAAACCTACCTTTTCTCCTTGGCCTTTGTTCCTTCTTAAGATGTTGGCTTGATTTGATTCTATTTGATTTTTATCTTATTTTATTATTTCTTTTATTGCACAGCTATCATTATAACCATGTTATATGCCTTTCAGATGATTATATCTGTTTTTATATGTCCTTTTTTGCTTTATTTGTGTTGTGTCTTTATTTCTAATACTTTTATTTATTACCCTGCACAGCACTTTGGTCCTCTGCGGATGTTTTTAAGTGCTCAAAAAAGAAAGTTGGGTTGGATTGGAGTTGGATGTTGGTAACATGTTTTATAAGGTTATCCTTAAAGCTTTTCTGCCATATATAATCCTCACAGCTGTTTACTGTCACATCCACACTGAACTAAAGATGCCATCGTACTTTTCCATAGTTAACAGTGAGGATATCTCTAGAGTGACCATATTCTGAATCCCAAAAAAGAGGACACTACTACATGGGGCGGAGTTGCACGCCAAATTTTGAGGGTTTTTCGGGTGGAGTGTTTTTTACACGATTCTGACTCAGTTATGCTACGCTACACAAACTCAAAACTTCTGTACAAAACCCTGGACATTTGAAGGATTTTACAAATTCCCCCTGACAGGCTGGACAGACCAGACGGACCGGACAGCCCCCCAAAAAGAGGTTCCTTGGAGTGCTTTCAGACCACCAGACTTGTTAAAAAAACAATAATTGCGCCAATGAACTCATTAACAGGGTTTGTAATGGATCAGTGTCAAAGATAAGAGTCTGACTCTGTTTCAGGAGTATTTGATGAGTTCATTTAAATTGTCGGTCATTCTCCTCTTTGCTTTTCTGTGTCTTTTACAGTTCATGTATCCAAAAACCTGAAATAGTCTTATCTTAATGGAAACAAAAGCATGCAAAATAGGAGATGCAGTCCCTCCTGTGAACTTCCTCATTCCTCTCTCCTCTCCCTGTTTCCCAGAAAGAGAAAAAGAAACTCAACGAGCTTGAAAAGAAGGAGGAAGCATTGTGTGTAAAAAACATTCGCAATTCTCCTTTTGAAATATGGATCTTTGTTTTTGTCTGTTTTCAGTGGAGTTGACCTTATGAACTGGGAACCATATCTGGATCAGACATTGTTGTCCCTCTAAGTGAAACGAGACTGTTGTGCACTGTTGAAAATACGAAAAAGCAAACCGAGAGCATTGTCAATTAGGGGATTATTTTTTCTGGATTACTTAGAGAGAACCTTTATGTCTGAGTCAATGTTTTAGAGGTAAAGCAGGCACACATCCCAGCTGTCTGACTTTGCCTATCTTATCTCTTTAACACTTATATCTCTGACTCTTATGCAGCCTGTACCAAGTAGACATGCGAGCAAACTGATGGTTGCGGTGTATAAACTCTACAGCAGCATTCTTCCAACAAGAGGACAGACAGTCAGGCCGAAAGTAACAAGAATGAATGAAATAACAAAATACACTCACACACTTACACTGAGATGACACAACCGTTGCCGTCTCTCTCTCCAGCTTGATGATGGAAGTACCAGGAAAACCAGGATGGGGACTCGGCGGAGCGGCTGCAGTCAGAGTGGACATCGCCGGCAGAGGACCGCAGCAGGAAGTGACAGATACCAGCTGCAGGAAGAGTGAGAGAGACAGCAAAGCTTCCTGGGTCACTCAAACAAACACACACGTGCATACATGTGTGCTGACGGGGTGATGCAAGTGGCACAATGGTGACACAACTATAGTTAACACATCTAGGTCACGTATAAAAGAGGCGTTTTGTTTTTCCGCTTTAACTTCACACATTTACAAAATGTTCACACACATCCTGCGACCTGCACACCTGCCTCTGCTCTGAACCGCAGCAGATTCATTTTCTCTTAAGCCTCGTTGATGGTCAGCATAGGTCAGATCAGAAACTTGAGAGTGTTTTTCTGTTTGGAAGATAGATGTTCAAGTAAATTTGTTAAAGTTTGACAAGGAAGCAGCTCAGTCAAAAGAAAAAAAAAGAGGAAACCGCCTTTATTTTACTGTTTAATCACCTCATGGAGAACTTAATTAGAGGAAGCTTGATGAACAAGGAACAAGAAAAGAAACACCTAGTCATTTTATATGCCTATCACATCAGCCCTGGGTGTTTCCCTCATTGAACATGCACATTCACACATTAGGACGAGGACAATCCACACACAAGTGCACACACGCCCAACGCCGCACGCACGAGCGAAGAAAAAGGGGAAACTCTCTCAATGAGGTGAACAATACTTGACATATCTTGACATATTTTTACTACACACTTCCCTTCTTTGTGACAACTTCCTCTCAGTCTTCACTACTAGTACAACTTACTACAAGAGGCTGCATATGAATGAAGAAAGATACACACACACACACACACACACACACACACACACACACACACACACACACACACACACACACATAATCGCTGAAGAAGAAGAAGAGGGAACAAGGGGAGAGCTGTTTTGCAACAACAAAGAGGAAGGTACATGTGTCGCTCATTCTTCTGTGATGCAACACCGGCAACTCAATGAACACACACTCCCTTACACACACACAAACACACTAATGCACCACCCTCTCCTTTAATACTGAGTGGCAATGTTGCATTCAGTGTGTAGATTTGGGTTTCACAAAAACTATTGTTGAGGAGGCAAGACGCCGCATGCACTCAATAATTGCTTTTTTTTTTCCTGCACTTTCACTCCCCCTACCACGCAAACATATCCCATGACCCACCCCACTCTGTAAACTCACCTCTACATGTGTCTGAGTGGATTTGCATATTATTTGCCAGTCAAATGAGATGCATTGGAGAGTGGGAGTGTCATCTGGAGAGAAAACTCCCCCAGAATTCCCCTTCTGAGAGACTCCCATATCACTTCCAAGAAAAAGGTCAGGTGGATTTCATGTGAAGTTTGGAATTGTGGGATTGCTTTTAAATGCCCTGACTATACTCAATACTGGAAAGGATTGAGTGGATTCAAGGAAAAAGAATGAAGCAGCTGCACAATACAACATAAGAGGATGCACCAAGCAATTTGATTAGATAAGAGATATGATCATCTAAGGCATCACCACAGTAAAAACTACTCTGTACTTCCCATATTTACAGTCTTTCTTCGGCAGTCCTGTTTAATGAGGGGAACTACTCTAACAAATATCAAACAGCCACAAAGACACTTACATAATGCAGAGTAAGCTATTCATGCACATGAATAAAGTTAGAAATGCTTCAATTGTAAAAGCATGGCCCTGACACTCATTTATGCACCCTACCTGATGTGGGTCAGTCCACCTCAAGGCAAACTCCTTCTATGTTGCAACAACATTTGATTTGTCTTGAGGTCCAAAAATACATACAGAGATGGAAATGTAATGTTTTACAGCCATAGTGACCCTCATACTCCATATTTCAAAACTTCTACAAAAGGCCAACGCCCATCATATGCTGTCTTATCAGGCCCAGCAGAAATCATATCCAGAAACATCACATCACAGTTACAAAAGACACACTATGACTAGCACGTGTCCTCGTATTTACATTGTTTTGTGTACAGTCATTAGCCTATCTGAAATTGGGGTAGTGTTGAGAGAATGACAGAGGCCAAACACATTTGGCAGCTAGCTCTTGATTTCACTCGGCGAGCCGCTCCCTCGTCTGCAACCAGAATCCTGAGGTGTAACCAAAAGATCACCGAGCAAAAATACTCACACAAAGATATAAATATTGAAGTTTCTTTCCTTTTATGACTGATAATGCAGCTGTAACAACAGCTACCAGCAAATATTAAAAGAGAATCAACTGCACAGTGAAAGAAACAATACTTTAACTCCACCAATGAGGGTGAATGAAATCAAATTGATAAGTCTTGCCTGATATACAGCCTGTTACGTTCATGTTACATTTGGCAGTTCATTCACAGTAAATCAAAGGGATACATGGAAGACAAGCTAACAAAATAGTTCCCTACTTACTCTCTTATGTTTTATTTTCACTTTGTTTCACATGCAGTCATTCAGTGAGGCCAGCTCTCATGATCATTAGCTTAATTAAATGTTTAGCATTTCTGTCTTTATTTTTTTAGAGATTTTTGTTTGAACTGACACAGCTAAAACATCTTAATTTATCTTTTTCTTTTTTCTGGCAGAATCACTATCTTGATTTGATTGCCTTTTTTTACATGTCTATTTTCAAGAACATTTTGTATGCACCCTCAAACTTATTAACCTATTTAATTAATTAATTAATTATTATTATTATTATTTTTTTTTACTCAGCTCAAAAGTAAACAATGGTTTGAAAACAACTCTAATGTCAAGTACACTCTTGGTAAATGTTTAATACAGCCTTGAGATTATTAAATATATTTAATGTGAATTTGTTCCAAATGATTAAAAAAGTAGGAGTTAGTGTGCATTTCAGTGCTGTCTCTCTGTTTACAACCTTTGCTGTGCATCCCTGTGTGCATAGTCTGAAACCAAAAGTATACTTCAAGTATACTTCTGATCAACAAAATCATAACTCAGGAAAACAGTACTAGCATAAGGCCTAGTATTTTTATACACAGCATGCACAGTCAGTCAGTATAGCAGACGTGAACACTTGGTCATAAAAAATGTGAGCATGCATGACTCGCAGTAAATTATTTAAAAAAATAACTACAACAACTACTGTCATTTTCTCAAATTTTGAAGACTGAATCTTGCAGGAACATGTCGGTCTTGTCTACCCTGGTTGTCTGTGTACATTTGGATGAGGTCCTCCTCTGCAGGAGACAACCAGTCAAAGAAGAAGGTACTTCATTCTGAGACAGCAAGACAATAATCTTCACTAGAGGGTTAAAACCTGAGTTTTAAAAACCCTAATGTTTAACTTGGCCACGCTAAATGCAAACAAACAGATCCCCTGTATCTAGACAAAATAAACGCTGGCATGCATGGATTAATGCTAAACTAAACGCCTTGTTTACAGTAGCAACAATATTACTGAGCTCATGTAATTGTGACTTTGATAGCAATATGATTATATTATCTGGCAGAGCCAGAGGAACAGGCTGAGCAGGTTGGACTGAACTTGTATTGACATGAGGAGACGTGACTCACAGGAAGCTGCACGGATTCCCTCAGTGGGCCTGAAGAGGAATTACACAAACAAGTAGAGATTGGCCTCATGTAGAAAGAGAATATTTAGATAAAACCATCACTGAGAAGGGCACTGTTATGAAAATGTACTAACTCTTGAGGTCATTACACCATGTGGTGTGTGCTTTTTATTGTGCTAAACAATGGTTTGTCCGAGGGAAGCATGAGATCGTAGTTCAACCACTAGAGAGCATTAAATCAAGAAACTGAACAGAAAGTATACAGAACACACTTTTATATCCTGTTAAGATTATAAAAGTTTTATGCGTTAAACAGCAGGCTGCTGCACCTTTACTGTGGACATAAACAGAACATCAAACCAACCTTTACGTCAATATGTGCTGTCTGCGTAACATTCAGTCCTGAAGACTCATTTCAAAATGAATGCATAAACATACATTAAACATCCAAAACAGGCAAGTTATGGACACAAATGACTGTGCTGAGATATAGGTTACGGCACACACACACACACATACACACACACACACACACACACACACGCACGCACGCATGCACGCGCACACACACAAGTGGAGCAGGTGAAGTGTGGCAGGTGTGCTTCTGGAGTACCTGGGGGTTGTGTATCATTTAGTCAGAGTTACGACAGAATGATACGGGTTAAGTAAGTAAGATAAGAGATCTCTGACACACACACACACACACACACACACACACACACACACACTGAGGCAACGTGTCAGGGGTGCAAACAGGTTTTGCTCCTGGGTTTTGGTCAAGTCCATGTTAGTTTGCAAAGTGTTTGTGTGTGTGTAGGTGTTGCATCTCAGTGATCTCAGCACTGCATGACAAATTAACCCTTTATTTCCCCTAAGTGTACGCTTTACTCATTCCACAACACACTGGGCTGCTTGGAAACCACCTGCTGCTGACGCTTTAAAGCAGGGATGCTGTGGAGGGTAATCCCGCCAAATTCAATGCGTGAAAAATCACTGACATACATTTTTAAAAGATCTCCATGCATATTTTGAGAACTAAAAATTAGGTGTTATTTGTTATCTCACTCAAAATAATCTGAATTGAAGTATTTAAACACCTAACCTTTGATGATCCATCTTTATACCATATTTATAACTCACCACTCTTACTACTTACAGTGTGTTAACTACTTACACCTGCATGTTCACCCATTTCCTCATGTAGTCACAGATAGGGTTAAAAAAATCTTCATATTCTTTTGCTACTTTAGGAAAATATAACATATACCATTATCATTTCAAACTTTTTCTTAGACATACTTAGTACTTGGTACTTAGACAGCATTTTACGCACCCACATTTTTACCTCAATGCTGAAAAAATTTAAGAACAGCTGAAATATATATAAACAAGTAGACCCAAGAACAAGATACATCAAATAGAGGTTGTGCAGAAACAGTAAGGAGGCAAATTTCCTGCTTTAATGTTGTAAAAAAAAAAAAAAAAAAAAAAAAAAAGGGGGAAAGGGGGTTTAGTGCAAAGCTGATGAAAAACACTTGACTTTATTAGACGCCATGAAACACGAAAGGTCTAATGAGGAGCTTTTTCTCGCTTATGGAATAGACTAAAATTCATATTGGTGCCATTTTATGATATCCAAATGCAAACAAGACCATCAGGGGCAAGATCTCCAATTTTGTATTGAAATCTGTAACGCCTGAAACCGGCGTACGCCAAGCACCTGAAGAAACGGCCCTGATTTTACAATTTCAACACAAAATACCCACAATCAAGGATATATTTGACAGTCCAAAGTCAGCAGGTTAAAGCTTGTGTGAGACACTATTAGTTCATGTCAATTTTGGTGCCCATGCTCTTAAGTTGTGGGCACCACAGGAGCTTTAAAAAAACAGAGGATGTTATACTTTGATTGACAGCTCCACTCATGCAGCATGTCTCACCAAATTGGCAATGTACATAAGGAGCAGAGAAAGAAAGAACAAACAAAACACAATAAAAGAGTCATTGAACTTTACATAACAGGGAGTTTTTACTACGAATCAACACAAGAATCCATCTACTGTGGATTATACCGACCTGCAATATGTCAGCGCCTGCAGCTGCAGCATTTTGGCTTTTTTTTTTTTTTTGCTGTTAAAGGGGATGGAGACTAATGATCCACATTTATATAGAGCCAATGGCTTTGACTTGTCGACAAATTATCAAACTAAACTTTTATTTGTCTTTGCATATCAGAGTAGGATGTGAAGAAGACATGCTGTTCTGGTTTACAGTGACCTAAAATTTACAGTATTTGATGTACGCAAGTGATGAAAGGTAAGCGGAGAGCGTTAAATATTCTCCTTCATCATGTAATTTACACGTTTTTTTCTGCTCAAGTACTTCACAGAAATTGTCATTCAAAGAAGGAGAAAATACTAAGAAAGGGAGTGTATACAGTAGATATAAGAATGGATAGTGACTAACTCCAAGAGATTAACCTTTTCAGTGCTGAAAAACTCACCGGTCAGAGTGAGACAGACGCAGCAGAAATACACCACAAGTTTCATTTTTCACTTTCTACACACACAGCTGGAAATCTTCATCTTCAGCAGAGAGACTTTCTGCTCAAGTGCAAATACCTGCAACCTTATTTAAGTGATGATAAAAAGAGGCTTTTGTGTCATTCATGTTGATCTTGCACAACTTTAGGAGGAAAATGCCCCCCCCCCAAAAAAAACAAAAAACTACTGGTCTTTTTGAGTTTACATTGTGGAGGGAGATGCTTATCTAGACGACTGGCTGATGATGGGGTGCATGTCTTTACAGAGGGAGTGGCGGGATGACATTTAAGGGGGTGAAAGAGGGGGCTTTGTTTGCAGTGTCAATATTTACAGTGACACATGCTGGATGAGTACTGAGTGACTGAGGGGAATAGAGTGTGTGTGTGTATGTGTGTGTGTGCGTGTGTGGAGTGGGAGACAGAAAGACGGTAAGACAGAATTATCAGCATGAATGGACTGCAGATGTCATGCTCCGATTAACAGATTTGCGTCTTTAAAAACATCTCTCCCTCCTCGTTTGGAGTGAGTATGAAGCTTCCAGAAACCCACTGAGAATGTTAAAAAGTTAGCTCCGGCAATCAAAATGAAAAAAAAAAACAAAAAAACAGAAACAAAGGCTTACACCACTCTGAACAAGTTAAAGTTTAGCTTTGTGTGATTTAATAGGTGACCAATCACCAGCGCATCTGTGACAATATACGAAGCTCTTTTGCATTGCAAAACAGAGATATGCAAATGAGGGAAACACAAGCCTTGTGTACTTCTCCTCTGCTCCACTGGCTATCAGCATGACCTGTTCAATGCACTCTCCCTCTTTTTCAACCCTTATTTACACAAGTCTCCCTCTTTCTCTGCTCTTTTTGAATGCTAAATCCCCATTAATCCTCCTTCTTTAATTTATCTCCCATGTGCGGTTCAGGTTGTGTGACTGCTTTCAGTCATTTGTAATTTCTGCCATTATGTTCTCTGAGGTCTGTAATGTATGTGAGAAAATGCTAACTACTTCAGAGCAAAGTTTTATGATTCAACAGTGTGACTCATTCATGTTCTTCATTGTTTGTTCTGCAAACTAAAACTGAGCACAGCTTCAACCTGTTTGATTTCAGTCCCTCTGTCTCCTTTTTAATGCTTTTTGTGTTTACATATGAGCTCAGAGCCCCCAGGTATGCTTACAATACATAAATCATGGAGCTGAATACTGTATTTATACTATAACCAAAGCAGAGAGGCTGCAACAATGTGCCCTTCAGCAAAAGCATTGAGGAGCTGATGTTTTTCTCTCTGACATTCAAATGATTGTACTGCCCTCTAGTGGTTGAAATACGATCTCATGCTTCCCTCAAACAAACCATTGTTAAACACAATAAAAAGCACACACCACATGGTGAATGTATTGTACGTTAATTGAAAAACATTTATTGAATTGTTCACAGTGCTCAGAGGTTTGTGGCTTGAACAGAAGTGTACAGTCAAGAAGTTAGATGATGCTTTAAAACAGAGATTCAGATTAGACCAGTGAAAGTAAATCACACGATAGAGCTAACAGCCAGGGCGTCACTGGATGATTTGTTAGTTATTTGTGAAACAAAAAACAAAAAAATACAAAAACAAAAACAACCTGGATTTTACTGTTCCAATCAAACAAATCATTTTTTTTTTGTCTTTGGCCTTTTCTTTTCTCCCCCTCTTTCTCCTATACCATTTTAAATTAAAATGGAACATATTTTTATTGTTTTTTGCTTTATGGTTTTGAACCAAAAACAAACCAGAAATCAAAAAAGGTACAGCGTGGAAAAAAAAGCTCAAATTTTTGTTTTCTCCATATCCCTTTAATCAACTCTCATGTTTGTTAGACTTGAGGTGAAAGTGACACATTCAAAATTTTTAAGTAAAGAATCTCTAACTTATGCCAGCACAGGGCAACAAGCATTAAGAACTGAAACTATGAGTCAGAGTAAAGCTAGACAAAAGGTGAATAACCTAGAGGGCCCACGCAAGCTGTGTGATTTGACATTAAAACTGGAACAAAAAAAAAAAAAAAAAAAGAGAAAACATTTATTTGGTTTTCAGATCATATACAGATAACAAATTATCCAATGATACCCTGACTGCAAACAACCCCACAAACCCAGGCGTGCTTTTAGGGTTACTATCACCAGCAAAAATGAAAAAAAAAAGCATTTCATAGACTTCAATTTAAGTATTTTTAAATGACAACCTTGACCTCCTAAGCAGAAGATGACAGTAGTTACTTGTTATGAACATTTACAGGAGTGCTGAGTTGGAGTAAATGGTTTCGGTAAATAATTCTGGTGGGAAAAGTTAACGTTTTAACCTTTTTTTTTTACACTTTTAGTGGCACTCTAAGCTCAAAAAAAGGAAAGGATCTACTAACTGCTGAGTGTTGGCACAATCCTTCAAACCATCAGGCACCTTATTACACTCTCTGTGATTTACAATTAGAGAAATACTGGTGGATAACTTCATTTAATCAGTCAATTTAGTATTTCTGTTCATTTTTGAGGAATTTACAGGTTCTTGTGACCCACTTCTTGTGGATAAAACAGTAACTCTATAGGTTTTGTTTACACTATCTCTGGAATATAAAACATTAAACACACATATTTGTATTTTAAAGTTAAACCAGTATGGCTCAGTGACCCTGTTTCAGTGCGGATTTGAGGAGGTATTGAGATTCGCGGCAGCCTGAGGCCTCCTGTCTACACTACGGCAGTAATGTGTGGCTCATAGAGAATAAATGTTTAGACAATAGTGCTGCTTACATACTATAGTGGGAGTTTTAACAAAGCCAAAAGTGCTAAAGTGAAGACGTGTGAACCATTTGCTTAATAGTTACAAGAGCTATAGTCACATATGAATATATTGTCTTTCTCACAACTTGGCCAGTGACTTTATTGCACTGCTCTTCATAGAAAAGATTCATTTAATGTTTATTTTCTTTTTTAAAAAGTGGCAAATTTATTATGTGTGTATTATATATTATTTTTTACAGTTTTTCTGAACATAGACTCTAAGCTGTAACAAAAAATGTATACAGTGTTAATTCTTTGTTCCTTCATAACTCAGGGAAGACATAAAACCTGGGCTTCTGCCAATACTGTGTACAGAGCATTGAACATGCCGGGAGTGGATCTTCAATGTGGTAGTTATACATATTTACAGACAACTTATAAAAAGTTTACGTATTACACTTGGACCAACTAGTATTTACAACTACTTTGATTGCTTTGATCTATTTGTGATAGTTACAGCTACATGAGGAGCAGGTTCACATTTAAGTTATATATAGAAAAGTTCGTGGGTATAAAAGTACCATTTTTGGCAATGAGGGTAAGATATTTCAAACAGGAAATGGTGGCATTTAGAGCTCCTGTGAGGAGTTTTTAGCTGGTTATAAAACAGACTCAAATAAACAGGAAGTGACCGTAAAAAATCTACCAAAACTCTCCACTAAACAGCTGATTGTTATTTTTAATTTCCTCAACAGCTGCAGGGGGCCAATGTCAAACAATGCAATGGATAAAAAGATGAAGGTAAACCCTGTTATTGTTTCAAAATAGGAAGATTACATTTAACTTATTCTTAAAAATACAAGAGGTACCCTTTTTTCACAGTGGGTGCCAAAATCAACACAAGTAGAAGTTTTCTCACAGGAGCTTTAAGTTTCTGTAACAGACATCTTTATTGTCATAATATAGGTGTACAGACTACTAGATATTAAAATCTGAGATATTTGCAACTACTAATTGGCCCAAGTCAGCTCATAACATAGGATACACACAGTGCACATAGTGCCTTTAACAAGTGTGGAAAAAAAAAGGAGTCATAGAAAGGTTCAGAGAGGTAACAGAGCAGTGAGTTCATGTGTCAAAGCAGTACGTTGGCACCTTGGCAGCGCTGAATAGGCTAAAAACCCAATCTGGCTGTGATACTGGGTGAAAGATCAAACTGGAAACAAGCTGCTACAGTACTGTGAGAGTGTGTGTGTGTGTGTGTCTGTGTGTGTGTGTGTCTGTGTGTATCAGTATGCTGGTATGGCTGTAAGAAAACAGGCAGAATCTGTAAGGAAGTTTGACAGTGTAGGAAATCTAGTCCAGAGAACGGCAAAAACACCACCATAAGATGCATTTCACAGACAGAAGGACTGAGTTGCAGTTAAGGCTTTGTTGTGCGTGAGTGTTGTTGCAAATTGAGGCTAAACCAGACAGATAAACGCACCCATTGAGTGGTTAAAAACCAGTGTTAGACTTGTGTTTTCTTCCCCCGTAAAAAGGTTGTTACATTGCTGAGATTTTGGCGTGTGAAGTGTTGTGATGTCATGTGACACAGTATGTACAGATTATACTATTACAACATTAAAAAACATTAAAGAAAATGGCTTTTGCTTCTGTTTTTTGTTTTGTTTTTTTGAGTCCAGCTGAAGCCTCCCTCTGATTAGCTGTTGTTCAGTCAGTCTCTCTGGTCACACAGTTAAAACAGAAGACTTTGTACAGTGTGCAGTACCTTGACAGACCCATTTAGTGCTGGAGTTAAAAACACATCAAAGTGAAAAGCAAACAAGTGAGACACTTGTGTTAAAGCATCCATTAGACGTGAAAACTGTACAAAACGTTTAAAGTGAAAAGATCTTAATAGAGTATATTTTTATTATTGTTAAAGTTTTAAAAAAGGATCATATAGAGCATAGCTTCATATAGTCTTCTCTTTGTTTCATATATTCTCTTTTCCAGCACAGTCCCACTGACTTTTATCATCTTGGCTTTTCCCCCTCTCTTTTCCCTAGCAGCATTGTGCAAAAACATCAACATTTGTCTCCACTGAGCCCTCCTTAGGCGTAACTTGATACTTCTATCCTAGCATTTCTTTGACACTTTGAAGCAGATATCACTGGGTTATAGAGTGAGGCATATATTTACTAAGATCATCCGCCAACACACGAATCTCTCTACGGCTTGTTTTTTTTTTTTTACCCCTTCCTGCAGGGCTACAGTCCTCTGCTCCAGCAGAGGGAGCCATTTTTCATCCACTTCTTTCCAGTGCTCCCACTTACAAAGCCTGTGAACAACTGGCGGTGGGAGAAAACACGCTGGAGGACAAATGAGGAGGTGGACAAACACTCCTTTCCTCCATTCACAAAGGATATCACCTTAGGAAATGGGAGAAAGGTTAAGGGATATCGTCCCCCTCTCCTCCTCCTCCTTCTCCGCCTCCTTCTTCTTCTTCTTCTTCATCTTCTTCTTCCTCAGGCTCCAGCTCCGGCTCTTCGGCGTGGGAGTGTGTGTGCGTTTCTGAGTGTGTGCGTGCATATCTTAGGCGGCTCCAGCGAGCTTTGTTTCTGTGCAGGTGACCCATCATGGTCTGGCTGAGCAGGCTGGACTCAGTGAAGCGGTGCCACTCCTCAAACAGTGGCTCCACGATGTAGGAGATGAACCCTGAGGGGAACATCAAATTTAGGGTGTCATCTTCAGTGGGGGGAAAGAAACTATGACATGATGACACAGTACACAGTGCTCACCTATCTGAATGACTGGAACAGAGTCAGCCTGCTGGTTACACAGAGGACTAATCTCCAAGTCAAACTTTCTCTCCAGATCGCCTGTGGGTTAAAAAGATAAATTTAGGAAGAAAAGACAAGCCATGTTGAAAATCCCTCTTATTCAACCCTCACAAACCATTTGGCTTTATTTAACACTTTAAAGCTCCTGTAAGGAGTTTTTAGTTGGTCACTGAACCCACTAAAACTAATACTGATATACTTTTAGAAGCTACAAAAGCAATAAACAATCCATTAGCAACAAAACTGAAGGTTCCTGTGAAGTAGTTATAAGAGCCTGAAATCACAGTCAGGGGAAAGGTTACTTACAAAAGAAGCGGCCTATTTAAAAGGTTTTTCACACTGAGTGACACTTTAGACTTACAAAGACGACATGTCAGAAAACATTGCCTTAACATGTTCAGGGTATGATAAGGGAAGTGAGAAGAGGTGCCACTTTCTCCACAGGGGGGCGCCACCTTCAACATAAACTCAACATTCCACACAGTAGTTTCAGTGAATTAAAAAAATCCTCTACATTAATAACCATAAAAACAAAACCATCTCCAACAAGAGGGTCAGTCTCTGACTGCAACTGGAAATGGATGCACTGCAGTCAAAAAATAATCACACATTTTTTCTGTCGAGATGTTGGAAACAAAGATTTTAGAAGAAAATATTTAATTTGATAATTACATTTAAGGCATTAATGTGAATGTTCAGTTTCAGTTTTGACTTTGGAGCTTAGATTTTCCTCACAACCAACTTAAAGCTGTGGAAAACAAAAAGTATTTTCAGAAAAAAAAACCTGAAAAGATTTTTGATTTTATTTACCCTTTGTAGATCATTTAAAGCTCCCGAGAGGAACTTTTACATTGTTTCAACTTTGGTGCTCCTTGTAGATCAAGCAGTGTTTGTTGATCTTATTTGTGCTTAAATACCTTCTTCAGACAAAGTATCTTATCCATCTGACTTTTGGTGGTAAAATTGATCAACTATTTTTTATTCTTAGAAATTGGAGAAAAGGGGGCTATTTCTTCTGCTACCAGGCTCGCACTAACTCCCTTGTTCTGGTTTCAGGTATATTAACAGTATAAAATTGGGCTTGTTTGTTTTTGTATTTCATAAAAAAGGCATCAAAATGAATTTCAGTCTATTTCATTAATGTCAAAAAAAAAAATAAACTCCTCAAAGTCAAATTGAATGGGTGGACTGAATGATGGACATAACAGAGGGTAACTTGGCTACATAACTTGCATTTGAATGACAACAGATCAAAAGTGCCACACACGGCTCTTTTCAAAGCTTTTTTTTTTGTATTCTTTTCATGATTATAAAATAAAGTGGCTATTACTCACCCTGCCTGTAAAACTCCTCACACACCCTCTCACTCCACTGTCTGCTCAGCTCCCAAACCCGACATGGATTACACACATCTGCGCACTTCAGAGCAATCTGATACAAAATAGGAAAAGCAGTTATGAAATTAAATATTTTTTTACATATTAACTACAAATACTATATAGTGAGAGAGTAAAGTATACCTGCAGTATGAAGTGCCTGTGTGAGGCAAGCTGAAGGTCCAGGTCCTGGTTGTCTAGATGTTCTCTAAAAGTGGACAGGAACTCGTTCTGCCTGCTGATGTCTGTGGCCAGAATGAGAGAGCCCAGCTGCTGTTCCATGTCCTGCCTGTGTAATAGAGAGGGGCAGCACTGAGTAAAAATGAGCTTGCATCCAGTGTCAATAGGTCTGAGAGTTTGTGTTTATGTGTGTGAGCTCTTACGACATATCCAGTGGCAGGTGGGACAACAGTCCTGACTCTCGCAGCATACCCACTGTGGATCTCCAGTGGTGACTCTCCAGCACAGACGTGTTCTGGTAGAGGGATGCTAGGTGGTGTCTGGTCTTGATGAGGAAGGGCTGGTTGACTCCTGGGTGGTCCACATCATGAGCGGCTGCTGCCATTAGTCCGAGGAATATGTCCAGGGGGCTCAGCTGCTCTGCCAGCTTCAACACATTAACACAGGGAAATGTTTGTTTCTCACTCTAGAGGGACATTTGCACTTATTTCTAATGAAACCTGATTGCTGAGCCAAGCTTAAAGGAGTCAGGGGACATGTGAAAAGGACAGGGGCTGTTTTTGTTCATCATGACTAAAATCTGCTTTCTGTCTTTTAGTCAGGTTAATTAGTCACAAAGTGAGTTTATGTCTTTAATTACTAGTTTAGCTATGTTTTATAACCATGTGGCTTTTCTAACCCACAGCAGGCCTGATCCACTAAATCAGTGGTTCTCAAGTCCAATCCTCGAGGCCTACTGTCCTGCATGTTTTGGATGTTTTGCTACTCCAACACACCTGATTCAAATGATCAGCTCGTTAACAAGCTCTGAAATGGCTTAATAACGAGCTGATTATTTGAATCAGGTGTGTTTGAGCAGGGAAACATCCAAAACATGCAGGACAGTGGGCCTTGAGGACTGGACTTGAGAACCACTGCACTAAATGACAGTGGTATTTCTGCCCCTGTTAAGCGTGTGCATATCAGCATCAGCATTGGTAAATACACTCTAAACTTTCCTGCAGAGCACATCACTTCACAGTGCACTTGTGCTGTTTGTGTATATTTGGATCAACACTATTATATGTGGACGGATTTGAGCTCAGTAAAGATAAAAGGGCAAAACGCAGCTCTGCGCAGCAAAGAGTAGAGATGCTGATGGATGCAAAACAAAAGCAGACTGCATGGAAAGGCAAACCTCTGGGGTTGTGTTTAAACCTGAATATTATTAGAGCAATATGCTTTGAGCATTGGACCATGAGATGGAGCAGATAGCAAGGACCAAATATATGCTTTTCTAAAGCACATCTATTTTGCCCCCAAAACATCTATTAAATCATCCTTTTTTTTTTTTTTTACAAGAAAAGGAAAAAAAACTGAATATCCATGACAAAATGACTAAAAGAATAAAAACAAACACAACCATCCAAACAAACAGCTCAGACAACAAAATTACACAGAAGGTTACTGGAAACAGTCCACCAGACAGTTACTCGTAAACTACAATTCTGGATCGGGAGAGTCCTTTAAGGGTTATAGCAGTCAGATCAGGTCTGAGATAGCTCAGATAGGACTGCCAGACTTCGTAGAACGGATCTGCTTTTAAGGGAATAACACTTGTAAGATTTTCAAAGGAACCAGTTTCAAATATAACTTTCCACCAGACTTCAACTGAAGGGCATTTGTCACTAGTTCACTGAAATACCATGTGTTTCTCCAGCAGCAAAAGTAAGAGTATTATGTATTTTTTTCCAGCCACAGTGTTAATATTCTGTCTTGGGAAACCCCAAAACTAAGGACATCAGATCATCAGATCCATTTCTGTGAAATATTTTCCTATTCACTGATAATTTCAGACCAATATTTCTGCAGATTAAAGCATGATCATAAAAAATGGGGTTGGAGTTCCTATTTACTTCACAGTACATAAAGATTCAGATAATATGTGAAAATGTTTAACCTCCTAGGAATGCATTTTTTAAAGCCCCTTTACTAATCATTTCTTTTCCTGAGTTAATGAAGTAAAGTAGATCAAACATTTTGGATTTTTTTGACAAACCCACAGTTGGAAAAGTGGGTAAAATGATTAAAAACAAGAGATTTTATCTGTGGAGCCTTATCTTTTGTTAACTTTGACAGCCCCTGTGGCCAAAACTGAACGTCATCTCTCTGCTAATCTTTCCCTGTATGTGTGTGGTAACACTATCTGAAAAAAAAATCTCATCCTACCTCTTTCTAAGCACATAATGTACCCGCTACTTTGAAACATTGCTGTGGAAAATGTAAACAAAGGCTCTTTTGGCAGTTTGTACTTAATTGCTGTGTCTGACACTGACCCTGCAGCAGTGCTGGGAGGCATTATAAATAACGGCACAGAAATAGCCGGTCTCCTCTCTGACTTGCTTGTTTGCTTTTGCACACCATTAGTATTAATTAAATGGGTATGTGTCACATGGTGTAGATTAATGTTAAATGGTCAGTCAAGGACAAAATGGCAAAATATTGATCAGGCATCCTGAATTATAAGTGCCTGCATCACAGTGGTATGCTCACTGTGTTGGATTCAATTTATTTATGTGAGTGCTTTTAACAAAATAGGTGCATCTCAAAGGACACAAAAGCAATTACTGTATGGAGGCAGGAGATGCACAGACACTTAATCTGGTCAGAGGGCTTCAGGGATTTCTCTGAGCTGTAGATGGAAGTGTTGTCAGGTCTAAGAGAGAGGGAATTATCACTCAGGAGGAAAAGCTGATGGAATATGTCAAGGAGAAGCTCAGGTCTGATGAAGCCTTACAGTGAAGTGCGCCAGAGAGTCAGAGAGAGAGAGAGAGAGGGCGTGAGCATGAATACATTATACTGCATTACCTTTGGCTCCTTCAGGTAGCAGTACATGGCTTGGGTGACATCAGCAGCATGGACAGCATTGTGATAGGGATTCTGGGAGTGGTAGTCCTCTTGCACCATGCCTAAAAACACAGGGATCAAGGTTAAATGTAATAAAAGTATCTGACTTGTTTTTATGATTCTTATGTCCCTTTAGCCCCACAGCTGAATTCATCATAGGAATACCATAATTTGGTCATCAGGGTGATATTACATGTAACAATGTGGCACAATTGTGTGTTAAAAAAACTGAAAACAGAAACTGGCAATCATTCAGGGTGTCACATAAGGTAAAAGCAGAAAACTCGGTCTTACGGTGTGTTTGACTCTAACTTTATTTTATGCCTGAATATCCCTTTAAGGCATGCCTTCTGATGAAAACTTGCCTCCTTTGGTGTGGCTCAAACATCAGATGCATATTTTAAATCGCTTTTTTTTTTGGAGCACAAAGCAGATATGGGGATGGGTGAGTATAACCGCTGACATTGTTTTGCAACCTACCAAGAAACCTGTGCAGTTTGACCATGTCCAGCTCAAAGTGGTGAATGAGGCCGTAGACATTGAAGAGATGGCACATCAAAGTCACCAGGCTGTTACCTACAGCACACAAAATATCTCACAAATCAATGATGTGTTCATAAAGTGAATAGTAAAAGAGAGAAAAACCTTTGTTAATCTCACTTTATGGTGTTGGAACAACTAAAAGAGGCAGTTTAATACAATGATAGTATAAAAGCTAAGGACAGAAAGGTGATGTCAGCTAATGTGCATTCAGAAACAGCTTACCATTTGTAAGACGATCGAAGAGAAAAATATCAAAGTTCCAGGTGCCGACTTTTGATAGCATGTGCTGCAGGGAAGGAAAAATTGTTTATTGAACTGAAAAATACAGTTATATAACATGAAAGTACACAAAAATAGACAACACTGCAGATGTGCTGTGTGTGATTGTGTATTTTCTTACTGCAGCCTGGCCTAGGTAGTCGTCATCCAGTAGGTGCAGTGACCCGGGGGTGTGGGGCACCAGCCCCCTGAGCAGCCTGGAAGCGTGACAGTACCTCTGAAAGCTCAGCAGGCGCTTTACTTTTCTCCTGGTGCCAGACTCTACCTCCCCCTGCTGGGCACTGGCTGGAATCACAAAATGCAAAATAAAAAAAAGATGTAATCTAACAGGACAAACAGGGAACCAAATGTACAAATTATTCTGCAGAGCAGCAGACACAGACTTGAGTTCATCGAAGTTTGATGCACAATGACACAGATTTGGTTTCAGAGCTCTGTTCAGAAAGAAGTGTTTTGAAGTCTCTGACAAGTTCGTGCCAAGTTAAAATGAGTGTTTATTTTGTATATGTACGCAAATCTGAGGACATTTTAACATCTTAAATATTAAAGTCCCCTTTTTAATTTTTAATGCGCAAATGTGCACAGTACCTTTTATGCTTCTATAAACTGTCATATTTAACCTAGGGATGGGCAATATGGGCTAAAAAACTCATGATAAGATTTGCCATTCTGACGATAACGATTAAAGTCCCGATAAAAAATTGTATAATTCCAATCTCTATTTTTGACTCATTTTATCTTGAGAACACCAGTTGGAATAGTCAAATAAGATACTTAACCACAAGTTTAAGTGGTAGGTCATGGAGAAAACTAATGACATCAAACAAGTCTCAAATGTGAAAACACTTTTAACATTTATTGAAAACTCTTTTTGCACAGAGTGAACAACAGTAGATCCACTGTCTGATGTTAGGCATACCTGATTTCACTCATCTATGCCCCGATCTTGAAGGATATCCCTCATGTGGAGCCTCGTTCAGTAACAAGCTGCTCAGAAACGTCTTCTTCATTACCTTCGGCCATGTTTGTTTGTTATTCTGATCTGTGTGAGCTATGGCTACCAGTCCGTCGCTCTTGCTTATGTCATCAACTTGCATTTATCTTGAGATGGCAAATATTTATCATGGAGGATTTTTCTGACGATATATTGTGAACGATAATTTATCGCCCATCCCTAATTTAACTTTCTGTTTTTTTTCATTATTGAGTTTTTCTGACCTCTGCACTCATTCTTCTCTCTGTGTTAACCACTTTGAATTGCCCACTTGCTAAAACATGCCATAGAAATAAAGTATCTTGCCTTTTCTAGATGTTTTTATCCGATGTCTATATCAGGGAGGTGGCTGCCAGCTGTAGTCATAACTGTGAGCTGCTGAAAAAGCTTTTTTTGTACGTTTTCGACAGGAAAGACTGTCCATGAGTCATGCGTGTGACTGCTAAAATAAAGCAGGGTGATTTTCTTTTGTTGAAAACACTACTCACTTGTGTCAGGGATAAAATTAGCAAAGATACATGAGGTCCAGCTTTTGTTCACCAAACAGGCTCCTGATAATAGCTTTAATGGATTTGAAGACTCACTTTTGAGGATTCGCAGGTCAATCAGCGGGTAGGAGCCTCGTCTCTCAACCAGCAACACACCAGCATGACCAGCGCTCAGTCTGCCATCAGCTGTGCACACACAAACACAAGGAGAGGACAGAAAGAGAAGGACAGTTTTAGAAATATGAGCATTCGGTGTTATCACTTATGCTCTGCTGTGGCCCTTTTTTGGCACACCGGCACATATGATCTGTGAATCCAGATTTTCAGGGATGAGAACCAGAGAGGTGGTGAGTGTTTAGACTAAAGCAGAGGAAACAAAGGAAGCAGGCAGCAGGGTTATGAGAGGACAACAGGGCAAAGCGTTCCCCGTGTTCAACATCATCACCCACATGAAAGCAAATTAAGAGTCGTTCTTAAATCAGTCTCTGTAAACAAGAGGGTCTTTGAAATGGTTGAATCATGCATCTGTGTGACTTTGCCCAGAAGGAACAGATTTCATGCTACTGTGCAGCTGTGAGGATGCACGTCTGAATCCAAGCACTTTTTATTATTTATTAAAGTGAAACAGCCGTTACTGTGTACGCTCTGTTCTTACAATCATTATTATTGTTTACTCTGGTTTTGTGCTCATGCTGATTGGCTGAGGGGGGTTATTTTGAAGTACAATTACAAGATGAGCTTTTGAAGCCAACAGATGACCATAACAAAGGCTCTCTATTTAAAGAGTTCAATTTAAGCACCAAATATATAATTCAAACAACCGACCGTTATCTAGCAAAGAATAGGAAAAGTCACGTTTGAGGTGCCTCCGTTTCACAGCCCTGCTGACACATTTTCTCTGTTAAATCGTTCTCACATGGTCTAAAAAGTTACATCCTCTGTGTGAGCATCAAACAGAAAACACAGAGGTGCATTTTCAACCCAAAAAACAGAATCCCTACCCTGTTAAAAATGCACAAATCACACATCCCAAGGCCAGAGAAAACAACACGCAACAAAACTAGGTCCCGGCACACGTGCGCACACATTACATTCACACTTGAATAAAGCAGAAACTGTGGGAATACTGAATAATTTAAGGCTCAGATGTGAGGAACTGGAGCGTAATATATCCCTGAGGTTGCAAATTCACATCACCTTTGTGACTCCCGCAGACAAGGGCAGCTAAACTACCTGCTAATGGGGCTGGAGTCACTGTGGTAACTCCTGCGGGTTGCCAGATCTTGCCTCGTCAGTGTGAGTTGACCACACAGGGAGCAGCGCTTACGGGCAAGATGTGGTTTCATCTTTACATAAAACGTGATTACAAAAAAGGGGGCATCACTCCCTTTCTGCGTATGTTAGAGTCCAGTAAGCAAGTATAAGCAGCTCTGGAGGAGTGACTCAGCCCACTCACGTGAGGCTGAAGAGTCCCGCTGGCCTAGTTAGAGCAAAAAAAAAAAAAAAAAAAAAAAAAAAAAGAAAAAAAGGAGAAAAGGGGAAAGCCTCTTTGCTTTTTATCCAGCGTGCTGATGGGCAGAGAGGAGGAAATTCATGATCTGGAAAAACTCAGCACACAAACACACACACACACACACACACACACACACACACACACACACACACACACACACACACACACACACACACACACATACATACACACACACCACCCTCTGGCTCTCTCCCTTCACTCAAACCATCTCTCTATACTTCTATTTTATATGTCATCCTTCATTCCTCCCCTTCTCCTGGCTCCTGTCTCTACATCCTCCTCTCCCTTCCTGTTCAACAACAACATCCCCTCTCCCTATCCGATCCAGCGCTTCGTCTCGCCCCCTCCCCTCTCCTCTTTTCCCTTTCTCTTCTTTTAACTCTCTCTGTGGTAAATAGGTCATTGTCTCTGCGCGGTGCAGAACTGGGTCATTTAGGATGGAAACGTGAATCAGTTAGAAAGCTTGTTTAAAGATGCAGCGATGCACACGCGCCTCATCATACTGCTGCACATGAACATTATCTGCACATATATGCACACATGCTTGCAAATGAGGTTAAATCCCCGCTTCCAACCGCAAAAACAAGATCACGCACTTGCCGATGTTCGCCCACGCTCACACACGGGGCACCGATACGAATATGTTCACTTGGCTTCACATGTATCTGTGGGTGTTTACGGCACAAACAGTGCTTTGGGGGCTGTTCTCCTTCTCAGAAAGAAACAGTCAGACACCTCGCTGCCACATGAAGCGCTGACGCTCCAATGCAAACTGTTTTCAACACAGTGGCAGATGAGGTGCCCTGCTGCCAGCTTCTTTATCACAATGCATGAAGACGTACAGTGCACAGCTGGCAGGACTCTGCAGGTAGAGGAAAAACATTTGACTTCCTCTGTGTGGTACAGTCTAATGGATGAAAGAGAGGTGACATCAGAACATGTCAACATACAAAAAAGACAGAAAGGAGGTTATGGTGTCCTCAAATGGATAATAAAACAAATCGGATGAAAATAAAGGGAAATATCATGAATAATCTAAAGAAAAGCCAAAGAAAATGCTTTAATGTAGAGTTCATCACAGAACAGATAGAATCAAGCTGACATGTTTCAACCCCACATGGCCTCACCGCTAAGATGATAAAGGCTGCAGCTGAAACAGGTTGGCTTGATTTGATCTATTCTATAATGAACTCATTCTACATCAAAGCTTACAGCAGGGTTTCTGCAGGTTTCAACACATCAAATTGAAGACTTTTGGGACTTTTATAGGACCACAGTGAATACAATTTAAGATCAATTTTACGTCCATACTGGCAAAAAAAAAAGGATAAAAAACATGAAGGGAAATTGGAACATTGCAAACTAACTTCAAATCTATCTTTATTTGTTAGTAACATTCATACAGTTTTTAAGACCTTTCAAGTTTGTATTTAAGACATTTTATCTGGTTTTAAGAGAATTTTAGACATTTTAATGCCTTTTATTCAAATGATTGGATTTTAGATGTTTTAACACTTTTCAAGACCCAGCAGAAACCCTGTCACTGATAAACTTTACAGAGTCTCTTGGCGTAACTTTTGGGTTGAAGTTAACATATAGTTTGTTCGCTTGATGCTTTTAAAACTGCTTTAAAATTCGTTTTTTCCTTAATACCAAAACTTTCTACGTAAAACCTCAGCAGTTTCTGTTTAGTTAAAACCACAATGTAAAAAAAGTTTAGCCATCAGATGTGTTAAAATGTATCTTTTATTTTTTTTTAATATTAATATTTAATATTTACTGAGCAAAAGTTCTTCTGTCTCCGTTTCTGTAACAGAAGAAATCACTCAAGGTCAGTTATTCTGCTTCTTGACTATGAGTATCAATAATTTTTTTTTTTTTTTTGTTGAATGCAAACATCATCAACAGCAACGTAATATTGCCATTATATATCAGCCAACCTACTCCCACATTATCAGTATCGGCCATTCAAAAACTGATACCAGTTGACCACTATTTGATATAATAAGAAAACCACCATACTTGAGCGCAGGAGGCAGATGCTGTTTTGGTATTATTTGAAAAGATAAAAAAAAGGCTCAATAAAAAATCATGAAATCGCTGCCCATGGACCTTCTTGTGATTTTCTACCTGACGATTATATTTTGGCTTCATTTTAATGGGTTGGCTTGTCTGCTGTCTGCTGTAAGTGAATGACCTCAAGTTTGTGTTGATTCTGGTGCCCCCGGTAGACAAAGCATAACCTCAACAGTCAAATGTATCTGCTGTGCGAAAAGTATGAAAAGACTCTATTTTTATTGACCCCCAACCCCCCCCTAACTGTGGTTACAGGCATTTAAATTATGATATCTAACTGTTCATGTTTGTGTTGATGGTCTTCTTTGGTCATAGTCTGCTTCATAACCAGTAAAAGACACTTCTCACAGGAAATTTGGGGATATTTTCTTAATTTAAACACATTCTTTTCATTTAGCTTAGTATTCAAATCTCCCTCACTTCCCTCAAGTTTTTTTTTTTCTGGTAACATGTCCTAAGCAGATTTTACAGCCTGTTCTGTCTACCAGCTTAGGGGGAAACTTATGTCAGCTGTACTTTTTGCGCTTCAATTTTGGATCTTCCAGTCCTTGCTGTGATAAATGTCAGAATGACTCACAAACACCACCAACAAGTTATCTCGGTGTCTCCCGCACACATTGTGTGACATCAAACGCGGCACAGATAGCTCCAGACCCGGTAGAATAATCAGACCAATGAGGTCATCACAGTGCATGGAGGGAAAGTCAGTGACAGACAGTGAGCAGAGTACATCTGTCCATTCTCCACCTTATGAGTCAGTCTGTGCGCTCAGGTAAATCCCCACAGTGTGAATCATCACCTTATCAGAGCGGGAGAAAAACACACAAATGTCCGTTTCTCATCCATTACTTCACACTTCAAGCTGATATCAGAGTCAAGTCACCACTACAGCAGATATTTTTCATTATGAGATCAATCTTACAAGAGAGAAACTGACAGCTCCAGCACTTGTGGCATGTGTCCACATATATCCACAGTCTAACATTAACAGAAAAAGGCCAAAAAAATAGAGTTTACAGAGTTTACTCCCAAGATTAAACTGTCATCAGTGCAACTTTGAACCCACCTGTCTCACACTCCAGACACGCAGACTGACAGAGGCTTGACTCCTGGCGTCATGTCAGTGTCATCAGTGCAGCTGCAGCGCAGCAGATGGTAACAGTTTTTTTTTTTTTTTTAAACATGGGCACTCCAACTTTAAAGCTCAAATCCCTCATTTCACTTCATTGTCCACCCCAGCTGGAGTCTCAACTGCCCTGAACCCTGTCTGTGGTCACGTAATTTACGAGCACACTCGATCCCGTAAACAAACAACAAGAGGCGTGTTTGACGAGGATTATCCACATAAACCCAGTTAGGGGACAAACTTTCAAAAAAGAAAAAAAATAAATAAAACACAGAAACCCTTTAAGATAGTATAACCTACCTATAAAAATGATCATATTTTGAAACAGAAAATCATCTTTCAATGAGAAACAAATCATGAACAACTGCATTATAAAACATTCCTGCTGTTTTTTGTCATAAGTGTGTTTAAATGTGGAGCACACCTCTGCTGGGCCACACACAGAAAACAAACACAGCGCATCAATCATTCATCAGAAGCTGACTGCCATCAGCTTTACTGCACATGTAACATGTTTTATGGTCCAGTTACCTTCCAGATGAGCACTCCTGTTCTCTAAGTCATCATCTTTCATCTCCTCCACCTCTTCTTCTGCCACCCAGGTGTTTGTCGGACTCCTCTCAGGATCCAGAGGACCCCCTCTGCGAGCCCTCCAAGCTGCCCTGAGCTGCCGTATGAGAGCGGGTAGCTCCAGAGCCAGAGACAAACCCCCGCAAGTAACAGGAGGCATCCTCAGAGGCCCCCACACTGGTGAGCGGGGAGCCTCATCAGGACATACCCCGACTTCAACTCCCACACTAAGCCCCGAGTCCCGCATCCTCAGATCCGGGCCCCATAGCCCCTCCAGCACAGGCATCCTCACAGTGTAAGGACACAGATGGATGACAGTAAAGAGAGAGATGACAGAGAGAAAGAGTGAAGTGGAGGAGGAGAGACGGTGGAAAAGAGAGGCTCACTGTCAGGTAGCCATGGGTGAGGAGGAGAGGTAGAGGTAGAGGTAGGGATGAGTCGGATGTAGGACACAGAAAGAAAGACAGACTGCCAGGAGGGAGAGAATCAAAAGCAGGGAGGAGAGCAGGAGAGAGGGATGGGCTGGGAATGAGCGCAGAGAGAAAACAAAGATGCAATGAAAGGAAGCAGAGAGGAGAGAAGAAGTGAAAATCCGTTTCTGTCCTCCTCTTTCAAAGCCGGCGGCCGCTGACAGTCTGCTCCCTCCTTCTGCCGCATTCTCTCTCTCTGCTACAGTCTCACTTGCGCCAGCGTTGTTGTGGAGTCAAAAAGCCCCTCCCCTCTCCGCTTGCAGCTCGCTTACTCACTCTCTCACTCTGCCTTTATGCCGCTACAATGATGGCACACCACTAGAATTTGTCTGAGCGCCTCATAGTCAGGTCAGTGACACAAACAAACCCATTCAGTCTGTAACATTAATGAGCCCATCTAATCCACCTGCAGGACAGGGGCTGTCGTGCACGACGCAAGTACAAGTGGTTGTGAACAACCACTAAAATCCACACTGATGCCTCTAAATGACCTACAAAAGACAGTCAGCCTGACACATATATAGAATGATTGATCGGATTGTTGCCATTGACCATTTAGATATGGATGGCACACAGTCAAAATTTAGGTCTTAGATAATCTGACTTGTTTTCAGTGGGTTGTTGGTCTTAGACCCTTCAGATCTCAGATGGGAAAACCCTCTAAACTGGCACAGACATGAGTGGTTAGTGCTGGAGTCTCCTTGTCTTTTGGAATCATCAGAACATGTTTGTGTCAAGAGATGAAGAAAAGCTCACCCTCCAGTCCATACCATCCCATCAATAACCTGAATTAACTGCCCGTGGACAAGCCCATGTGTGACAAACTGTGTCACTTACTTTAAATCAGATTTTTACAGTCGATGAAAATTAATTTCTGCTGCTGATAAAAGAAAATACTTTTCTAATACATGTGACCAGTGTGCCACTTAGTGACCAGTTTGCCCATGGGCACATAAGCAGACGCAAAAACATGGCTTGAGTGTCTAGTGTGCAAACCAAAAGTGCGTCAGTGGAGTTAAACTAAGATGACTGTTGTGCACACCACTTACTTCAGTATAAACCTGTCTGCAAACTTTAAAAACCAGCCTGGCTGGACATTTGAATTGTGCAAAAAACTCTTTGATCTGAACCCTTTCATCAAGGCCACTAACAAGGCTTGGATTTAACGCGACCAGGACTTAAAGAGGCAGAAAAACAAGATGTTAATTAAAGAGTCAAATTCCCAGATTTATCTTAAAAGAATGCCAAAAACGTTGTGGTTGCCATGGCGCAAATAGTGACTGTATCCTGATTTAATAAAAACTGAAAAGACAACTTGTCTTCTTAGGCACCAGTTGTGCCCTGCAGACTCACATAAAAAGAAATGGGATTGTTGGACTCAAGTGAATCAGTTTTAACTCGGATGAACTGAACACTCCTGGAATTGAAACACTCTCTTAATGTTGTCCTTAGAAGTCACGCACATCCCCATAGGCTTTTCTGTGGTGACTAATAACCAGATATTAATCAACAGTAATTTAATTAAGTGGATGTAAGCAAATTAGACAAGTGTGTTTATCAGTACATGAATATAGTCATTAAGGGCTCTTGCTATAACCAAGACATGTTTCCAGACAAACGATCTCTTGAGAAAAAGTCACATGCAGACTCTGAAGTCCCAACACACACGCACACAGACAGCCTTGAACCGCTCAATGATCAAGTTGAACGTCACATATGAGACACATGAGGTTTTTTGCAAGAAATGATTAGACAAAGGCAACAAGTTAACAGATACAGATGCTGTGGGAAAAAGACAGAATTAGATGAGATAGCTTGTGCAGAGGGGCATTTCAGGCTGATGCAGGATGGCTTGGTGAATTTATTTGCTTTGATCAGATTGGTTGTGATTCATTAGGTTTTGTGGTGTTGTGACATTTGCCTGTCAATGAGTATTGATAATGTAGATAATAGTGTGTTTAAGGACATGATCATTCCCTTGGATTGTTTTGGGTTTGCTTTGCTATACTGTAGCATTGTGTTCATTGTTTTTTTGTCAAGGTATTTGGGTGTTGCAGAATTTGTTGTTTTGATTAATCACTCTTGAAAATTGGCTTTGTCATAATGCTATAATGCTCTAATTCTTTAATGCAAGTGAGTTCATCTGACAGATGGACTCTCGTGCTGGTTTGACATATCTGTAAAATGGAGATCAAGCTAAATGAGGGCTGGTAATTCTGGCTCTGCTAATGTTTGACACACCAAAAGGACTAGTAAACTAGTTGCTAGGGAACATCCCTACTTTTAAATTCTTTTTTTTTTTCATTTGCATAAGTCTTCAGTCTCTTAGGCTCTTAAAAACCCACTCCAACAAAAATCATGTTTTTCTTGCTGTCTACATGTTCATATGGCATTTTTCTGATGCTACTGGACACATCATGAGAAAAATAAGTGGAAATTGCATTTCTGAGTATTTCCGCATTAAAATTCCTGTGAATCTCTGACAGACCCAAACGGCAGGTTCAGGTACAGAGAGATTTCCTATGTCAGAAATCCAATCTCCGCCCTTGGAGCCCGCTCCACAGACCTTACTCAGGGAAACAGTGAGGACAATTGCGGAACAAGCGTGTGCGTTAGCGGATTGCAATGCTTGTACGAAAGCTAATTATGACATTAGCTTTAATCATGTCCCCAAAGACATTAGTGTCCAAGAACTGAATAGTTCCTATATTACCTGCTTCTGCTACTACACCAGCAATGTTAGGCTACAAGCTAGAATGAAGAGGAGAGTGAAAAGCAGCGCTGTCTCCGCCCACGACTCAGAGGCGAATTGCTAATGAGCTACTGGTGTACTGCAGAAGTAAAACCTTTGAAATTAACACAGGTAACATGATTTTGGCTAAAAACTTCAATACTACAACTTAAAGACCACTGAGAACACTTTAGGTAGTAAAAAAAAAACAATTGCAGTGGGACTTTATGGATGTCATATTGGAAGCCAGAAAAAGCCATACAGTAAATACAGAGTTACTTAAGAGTGTAAGAAAACAGAAAACTGTAAGAGAATAAAAGGAGCAAAAACTCAAAAATCTGATGCATAACTGTGAAAAAGACACGTGACAGAGCTTAAGAAATGGTGATAAAGGTGATGGGGTCAGAGTGAGAGAGGGAACGATATCAGAGAGTTAATGAGGTCAGTGGGAGCCTGGATGAGTACACTTGGGAGTCAGCCAGTAGACACACAAACACACACAAACACACACTCAAAGCCACAGAACAACTGTGATTGACTCAGTCTCTGCACTTGAGTGTTGTGTGTGTGTGTGTGTTTGTGTGTGATTGTGTGGGTGTGAGTGAGAGAGACATTCTTATTTGTGATTCTCTTTAATGATGCCACTGGTCACGTTTTCTGGCAGGGCACTCTGTGGAGAAGTGGGTCAGCCTTTGACTGAAATGGCCTGCGAAAAAAAAAAAAAAACAGAAACAAACAAAAAAAAAAACTGCCAAGTGTTTGTACACTTCATTTCAGCCCGTTTGTATTTGTGCTTGTGGAAGCACGCGAATGAGTGCGTGAAATCTTAGCACTGGCACTGACCCCATGCTAACTTCACTTCTTTTTTTTTTTTTTTGGTCGGCAGTTGAAACTTTTACGGCACCTGTACTTTAGAGAACTTATAAACAGTTTTGACATTTATATGGAAAATACTCTGTTCCGTTTTAAGGAGTGAATTATGGAGGTCTGGCACTGCCCTTGAACTAAACAGCAATATTTTTGATGTCTGTTTCTGCCATAACTTTAAAAAAAATGGTAAACTTTACAACGCCAGAGGTCTTCTCATGATGAACTTCTTCAGTGTTATGAAACCTGCAGTACTGAGCTATTCAAGTTCACAGTGCAGGGTTTACAGAGACAGCCAGAAAAGTCCTCAGTGTTTCAGAAAGATTACACCATGCCAAAGGTTACAGTAAAGCGTCTCTAAATATTTAGACACCTTTTGCACCGACAGTTTGCAGCTGACTACATACATTACCACCAATTTGCACTCCAGTATTCAGGTCAGTGAGCTTTCTTACCCAGCATGCGAACTTGTGTGGCATTCTGCTCCGACCTTTTAAATGCGACTGCTCCACACCTCTGTGGCAGAGAGAAGGAGAGAGAGAAAAAGACACTAAGATTAGTATTACAACACCCCAATGTATACTCTCTCGGCTATCAAAAGAGCCTCAATGAACCTTGATAATAAATAGAAACTGTGTGAAAAGTCATGGTGGCCCTCTTTGCAAGGTTATAACACACACACTTCCTCATTCACACTCATGTGTCATTCTAGCAGCTGACACCTTTCTGCCACAATTCCTTAAAAACTATAACACAATAGGATCTAACACCCCAAGATCTTATCATTTCAAATTACAGGAGTCTTGTCCTGATTAAAGTAAGTGTTTGAGAACAATTTTTCATGTCAGTGAGTAAGAAAAGCTCATGTGAATTTAGCAACAGTGACATCTGCTGTTCCAGTAGGGACATGTCTCTTGGTTTGCCAAGCGGTCTGATAAAGTGGGTCAGACAGCACACTGGCATAGACTGGCATTAATTTGCACATTAATCACATGCCTCCACATGGTCAGTCGTCACAATCAGGGGCCCTGATGCATCTTTTCAGTGATGAGTTCCTTTCATCTTAAAGCCACATCGTTTTATTTTAAGAAAACTAATATCAATGTGGCAGAAAACAAGAAAGGACCAAAATGGTCAGAGATAGCCAGTTTAATTCTGCATTTTCAACATACTGTGCAAACTATCAGGCAGCCACAGTAGCAGAGAGGAGAGCAGGGAGAGGAGCAGGAGGAGGCAGCTGTGAGAGCAATCTGCCGCTTTTAATACATTGTGAGCAGCAAAGGAGCTCAAATCCTTCCATTTTTATACTTTCGTCAAGACGCGTCAAACTTGGTCCAATTTATCAGCTGGTGCCCTTTATGGTCGTAATGTGGTGTAGAAGAGAGGGGATGATGGGAATTCACAGAGTGGTGTGTTTTTTGGAGTAACATAAGGGCAAAGACATTAAGACAAATAACAGAAACTAGGTCCTCCTGCTGACTTAACAGACTCTTACAAAACCATACTTTACCCCGTATAGCACAGTGTTCAGAGTCACCCCTCTGGAGGAAGACAGTCATAAAACAGTACCTCGAGTGGGAGGATTTACATCTAAATTAGCACGCTGTTGTTTACCGGAGGGCAGGAAACGGGTGGATGGAGACAAACCAGAGGCAATGACGATTTACTCATCCAGCCCACATGGTTATGGTATGTTTACAGCATACCCTCTGTGTAATGATTTTCCATGATACTTCAGCTCTGTGCTTACATTTTAAGTCACGTAAAATGGACAGTTCCCAATCCATGTGTATTAAATCTCTTTGCTTATAGCTAGCTTATGTCAAACTGTTTACACTGAGCAAGTCTGTTCACTGTCTCCTGTATGTTGCTGGTCTCCAGATCTGACAAAAAAAGGAGATCTTGTATTTAAAAAAAATATATTTCTGTTACAGAAATGTTCAAGAATTAGTGGCAAGAACTCAAACTGATTGAAATATGAAGAAAATGTGTTTCTTATTCTGAAAATCTAAAAATAATAGCAGCTGCCTTGCACAGATGTGAGTGCAGCCTGAGAAGCAGTGCCCAAACTACTGCTATTAGAGAAAGAAGATCAAGACCCTGTCCTGTAATCCAGGTAACAACAGCAGAGCTCTTTAGAACATCTCTAAGGCTATGTCCACGTGTATACAGATATTTTCATTAATTTTTCTTTACTCCGTTTAAAAAATACAACTACAACTGTCTGCCAAAGAAGTGTTTTGTAATGTTCTTTTGTCTGCTAGACAACACAAAGTCAGAAAACACTCAAACAAGCCTGGCCAGTAGCTGGCAATACTGTGTTATCAATTTGTCACATTTAACACTATTAAAGTATATTGTGTGCATACTTGTCAAGTCCTCTTCAGCGAGTGACATTTGTAGATGTGTTCTTTAAAATCTATTTGGAGTGGTGAATTAAACACTATTGTATTAATTCATATGTTAATTCACTCTCTGGTTGCAGTATATTGACGTAGTATAGCTAGGTTTCCATCTCAACCTGCAACTAGTACCACGTGAATGTACAGAAACCTGCCACCTTGGGCATGCCTAATACAACTATTTCCATGTACAGGTTGAAAAATTGGCATCAGTGCTTTCAAATGACTCTGCATTCACTGTCCACACAAAAACAGACAAAATAGAGTTTTCAAAAATCTCCACCTTAGAGGGCTCTGCTTATAGGATGCAATATGTTGTAGATGATGTGTTTGAGAAAAGTAATGTTATCTTGATTAGTTTGTTTAAATTTGTGCTTGGGTTGGAAATGAAATTATGTGTTTATGAGTTGTGTAAAAGAGACATAAAAGTAAGACTTTGCCTAAAGCTGTACAAACTGCTTTGTGAGACTACCAAAGAACTTTCACACTCAAACATGCTGATTTGCTTTTGAGATTAGCCACTCTAAGGCAGCTACTTTTCTGTACCTTTTACTGTACTCATAAACGGACAAATACCTTTTATTCGTAACTACTGAACCCATATCTATAGCTTCCCCTACTGCACATCTGCCCCTGGTCTACATGTGGTCTGCAGTATCCTGCAGGTTAGCTGCTGTAAATCTGTCAATACACTGACATGATACATAGCAATAATACAAGAGGCCCTCTGTCAGCAGTTCTGCAGTTTATATGTGAGGCTATAAATGAGGAAGTCTGCACCAAAAAACTACTACTAGCACATAAAAATCAAGGTCACTGGACATTAACTTCCAAGAATCAATTCACTACTTAAATACACACCATGCAGCCAAATTTACGCAATAATAACGCTGTACGAAACAGCACATTGTGCTGACTGGAGGTCTTTGGAAAGTGACTGAGCGCCAATGTCACATTAAACGTCCTTACAGGAACATTTTCCCCACTGTTACTTTGCTTTCATTCGCTTTATCCAGGCCTGTTACAAAACAACACTGTGTTTACAAGCCTGTGTGTCTGTTTAGTGGCAAGCAGCAAACATACACAGTAAGGTTACAGTCCACATACCTCGACCATTAAACAGGACATTTAACCATCGTGGCCGCTCGTGGACACCAAGTGAATGCGACGGAATCAGGCGCGTGCGGAGTGTTTTCATGTCCCGGGAAGCGCACGAGCGAGCCGCATACAGCAGGACGAAAGGTGACAGTGCCCTGGTTAACCGCGGTTTTCTGTCAGACCCAGGTTATTTCATCCTCCTCTGGTGGTTGTGTCTTATCCTTGACTGTCAGGACAGTGTCGGCTTCTGAAACGCCAAGGTGAAGTTACCGTTACCAGTACACCGCTCCTGCCCGCGTGCGGTCTCTATGATTTGGTAGTGAACCGCAGAGAGAGGAGGGGGGAGGGGCTGGTTGTAGCGGGGACTTGTGGGAAGTGGACCAATCAGCGCCGACTACAATCACTGATGGGAGAGACATAGTTAAACAGCGCTGAAATTTAGATTATTTCACAATGACACAACTTGTAATGCTGTCTCCAAAAGCTTTTGTAAAGCCTCTTTTCATAAACTGTTTTTATTTTGTTTCATTTTATTTACATCTGTTGTTTGTCAATGGTCTTTGCCTGCCCTGTCCTGCTGCATAACTAAGTAAACTAGATGTCACCATCTTGTATGTGTGGTAAAATATAATGACTGAAATTCTGTCAGTCCTAAACTATCTTTGAACAGTGTGGATTTCCTGGAGTAAATTCTGTAAATTTGATCAGGCCGTTTTACTATTTTTACACTGACAGCAATAACTTGGAGGTTTTTTAAGTTACAAAAACCTGTTTGTTTCAGGCACACCAAGTATAGTGTGCATACTGGTTTGGATTACCAAATAGCTTCATATTCCTGCACTTGGCTCTTGTCTTACAAAAGAAAAAAGAAAGAAAGAAAATAAAGTTAGCCATATGTCCAGTTTGTGCATAAGATTTAGAAACATGGGAGCCTCAAAGAATATACACCTGTGTACACACACTTCAGTAAACATTGCTTGAAACATAGCAGAGAAACAGCATAAATTCCCAACATTAAAAAAGCTGCACTTTATCTTTAACAGGGACTCTGAACTGCAGCCAGACAGAGTTGCGTTGTATGAAATACTGACATCTGCTGGAAATAAGACTGAACTATGTTTATGTAAACTACACTTGTCATTCTTTGTTCTGTTACATACACAAGGCAGCTGATGCTGACTGGCATACCGGACAACTCCAGACATACTTTTTTTGGGCTGACTCGGGGCTGTCATAATTTAACCAACAAAGTATACCAAATGATACCAAATCATTGTACAGTTTAGCAGAGCAGGCCTACTGTACATTATATCAGGGTATTGCACAGTTTTGCTTAATAAACAAGATCATCTCTTAGATTATTGAAGTTTTGACTGCTTTACAAACAGATTGCACAGTTGAATTTCATTATATGCAATGGAGAAGTTTACAGCAACTACATGAGAAAAAATCAGGGACAGACAGAGTGTGTGACACTCAGAGGGATAAGTCATAAAGTTTGACAGCCACAGGCAAGATCGACTTCCTGTAGCGCTCTGCGGTACATTTAGGGTGGATGATTTTAGCACTGAATGTGCTCCTGTGTTTGACCAGCACGTTATGGAGTAAGTGGTGGATGCTGTCCAAGATTCCATGTCACTTTGACAACATCCTCCCCTCCTCACCAACGCCAGAGAGTCCAGCTCTACCCCCACAGTGTCACTGGCCTTGTGGATGAGTTTGTCAAGTCTGCTACCCTAAGTCTACTGCCCCAGCACACAACAACTAACAGCATTGTGCTTGCCACCACAGACTCATAGAACATCCTCAGCATGGTCCTGCAGATGTTTAAGGACCTCAGCCTCCTGAGGAACTAGAGACGACCGAGTCCCTTATTGTTGACAGCTCCAGGGTTCTTAGACTAGTCCAGCTTGCTATCCAAGTGCACCTCCAGGTACTTGTAGTCCCCCAAAATGTCCACACCATAGACTGTATATACTATGGACAACTTGGTTCCACCTCCCGCCTGTATAAGGATTTGAAGCCTAAAAGCTCTTGGTATTTCCGAAAATTTTCTTAATTTCCTGAAACCAGCATGGCGCAGTAGCATTGTATGCATTCAACGGGAAAGTCACCGAGAGTCGCTGTGATGACGCTCGGCTCAAACAGCGTATCCTCCAGATGAGCTACGCAGTCCCTCAACACCAATAGGCTGTATCAGGTGTCAATCATAGAAAACATGAACCCCCTAATAACTTTTAAAAATGGAGCTTCACAGAAAAAAGAGGACTTGAGCACAAACCAGTCTTACAGTGACTACATGTCAACATCACAAGCAGAGGTGAGAAAAATTTATGTTCTGTGTAATAAATTTCTAAAGTTTGTCCACAGATCCATAAGCTTTGCTGGCAGAGGCAGGATTTATGACCTATACTGCAGCCCGTCACCAGAGGGTGCTGTTCTCTGAGTGGCTTCACCCTGCGAGGAGGCAGACGGGGTCCATTCTACATACAGTCTATGATTCAGCCTTGTCACCCTCCCTGATGCACCCAACAACAGCAGAGTCATAAAGAACTTCTGAAGGTGACAAAACTCTGTGTTGTAGTTGAAGTCTGTGGTGTAGAGGGTGAAGAGGAAAGGAGACAGTACTGTCCCTGTGGGGCCTCAGTGTTGCTTACCACTGTCTGAAACAGTGCAGTATACATTAGGATTTCATGTGTGTGTGTGTTATGTTATATTGTAGGATTTACAGTATATCCATGATTCTTTATGTTTAGACGGCTGACTGTCTTTTCTTTTTTTTTTTGGTTGCGCCTTTTGGTACAATGACAAAAAAGAATTCTGATTCTGATATGTTAGAATCTAATATGTTTAATCTCCTGTGTAGTTTTCATTTTATTTTGATAGCTCAGCATGAAACATTTCAGGAGGAAGTGATCTAAAGGGGCCTGAAAAACTGCAGCTTTTGATAACTGTCAATGCTGTATAGTTTGATGTTTCCTGGTATAGTCTAGGGGTTGTTAACAGGAAGTTGTCTCAAGTTATCAAAGTCAAATTGAATCCCATCACAAGTGCCAGGAAATATAGTGAATACTCACACCAGTTATGTGTTTTTTGCAAGTAAAATGTTTTCTCAAGCAAATTATCAGACTGTTTTCACTTTTGCACTGATGTACATTATTACAAAACACAGCTTTGTATGTGCCTGCATAAGACCAGCATGTGAAGTGTTATGTACCTTAAGATTGTGGTCAGGAAGTTTGTAGAGTTCAAATAAAAAAGTGGGTGCAAAGACCAGGAAATGTACTGACTGTAAAGCACATCTGACATTTGTAGGGCAACCGTCATGACAGCTCAAAAAAATTTTTACTAAGGTGGTTTAATATCTGAAAATCTCTTTTTAAAATCACAACAGCTGTGGTATAACATTGAATACCTTTATCAGGGTGGTCTGCCAGACCTTTTAATCATATGTGACATCAGATTTCTGTCTTACAAGCTGCACTGATGCTAATTTGATGATCACAATATTGTTTAAATGTCATTATGGTTTCTTTTTAGCTTAACAGCTAATGTGGACAGTGGCCCTAAGGCACATATATTTAAGGAAGGTAATAAATGAATATTGCATATATATATATATATATATATATATATATGAAAATAGATATTTTTGGATTACAACAACATTTTAAAAACATTAAATTCCTTTGGAAATAATTTTTGCAGACACAAATACTTTAAATACACAAATAATGTTCTTTGCAACAAAATAGTATTCAACAAATATTATCCAATTCTAAAAAGTATAATTTTGTGTTCCAAATTTATTGTTTTCCCAAATACATTTGGTGTTGCCAAAGATTTTTATATTTTTTGAATTATTTTCATTTATTTGTGTTCCCAAAATATTTTCATGTTTTTTCCAAGATTATTTGGTTTTCTCAGAAAAAAAAACAAAAAAAACAGTGTGTTTCAGGGTTTATTTGTGTATTAAAATGTTTAGTTTGTAGACTCTATGAGGCGACACTGAGGTGAAATCTGCATGGAGGATGTTCAGACTGCAAAGTCTAGGCGGGGTTTGAAGGTCAATGGTAAACCACACATGACAGTGGTAACGAACTGCAGTCTGTGAAAAACAACATTTCAAAGTAGCACACCAATACAATAGGGTGACAGTGAGGGGGTGTACATACATAGAATTACCAGAATAGAGACACTCTTTTACAATAATTAAGTCCTGGTCATGATACCACTAAAAGTGGGACAAAATTCAGATCACTTTTTGGGAATTAAGCAGTTATTTTACCTGAAGTTCTGATATTAAATGAGGAGTACTCCAGTTTCCTCCCACAGTCTGAAAACATGCTCTTTTAGGATAAATGGTCACTGCAAATTGCATTCCAGCTCCTCTGCATCCCCACACAGGATAAGTAGAGGAGACAATGGATAGTAGATGAAAAGAAGCATGTAATTTTGGTTACATGAAGGTCATGTAATAAAATACATCATAAGGGATGGTTATGATTTTACTCACCATAAAAGGAAGTCATCAAGTAGGTAGAGTTGTTATGCTCAGCAGTGAGAGTCAACGTCACAATGCACAAATAGGTTTCGTGGTATTGGTTGGGGGCTGTACCATTTTATGTGAAACGAAATAAATCTTCTGGGTGTTCACAGGAAGCTTTGGGGTGCATTGACTTCACATGTTCAAATTAGGACGATTTTGTTTATAGAGTTATAAATGAGAAAACCTCTTTTAAAAGTTATAAACTATACGTAAAAAAGGATAGGGTCTCATTTTCAGCTGGGATAAACAAACCAAGAGTTACCAACATGAACAAAGGTAAAGTTAAAGTTCTCAACTTTTTTTCTGATAGATACAGTGAGATTTATGATTGTTTTTCTTTATAAGAGCAATTTCATGGTCTTTTTTGGAAACAAATATTGAATCAAGTATCACCTCAGTGTCAAATAAGCCTTTTTGGAATACATCTTGTGTAGTTTTCCTTTTGACACAAATTTTAAATTAAGTTTAATTGCTGTGTAAAGTATGGCCTTTTAAAAGATGTTTTTTGCAATTACATTAGTGAAAAATATATATCAGGCATAATTTGCTGTCTAAAATATGTCCTAATGTAATGATTCTTGGTTTTTGTATCATCATTTGAAACAAATCTCAAGTCAAGTGTTATCAGAGTGAAAAATATTAAACATTTATTAATCTTTACCCTCTATGTGCCTCATCACCGAACAGATGTTTACTTATGAGTCTGTGGTTAAAACAAATTTCAAGTATTAAAGTACGTAAAGTAACGTTTCCAATTCAGCGTCTAACACGTCACTCATGATGATGTGCTCATGAGATCAAATAAAACGCGAGTGGTGGGTTGCATGCGTGTTTGAAAGCAATCGAAAGCAATCGAAATGGCAGCAAACGATGACTCAAAGATTTCTGTAAGATTCAACTTAAGGCTGTGATTAACACAAGTCAAATTATTCATGGAGATTGTTTACGGCAATTTTTGAATATGTATTTGACTGACTTTGTGGATAGATTTAAACGCAGTCAAGTTGTAACAGCAGTTGGTTAGCATTGCTAGCTAGCTTGGAGTTTATTCAATCGGTCATTTGGCCAGAAAGTGCCTTTTTGGCGATGTTGTAGTTATCTTTTAAGTGGGAGATAAATTCTGAAATGTTTCCTTGTGCTATCTTTACATTATTGTTGAGATTTGGCTGTATCGACCATATGACAAAATCAGCGTTGTTTGTTATTGAAAGTTAGCAGTGGGACTGCTAGCATGCTAAGGAAATTATCATTTATCAAAGCACTGTGTCTTAAAACTGTACCAGTTTAGCACTTTGGTATCAACAGTTTAATTTCCATAATGTATTTTTGATAATATTGCAGTTCTCCACTGAATGTGTGGACGATATTGATGGATTTCAAGGCGTTATCGTGTATGATGACCTAACGTTCCTCTTGTCTCCTCCTCAAGTAAGACTTATAAAATTTGATGAAAGCAAATCTTCAAAATAAAAGGAAATATGATGTCTGTAATCAATTACCTGGGCAGGTTCACTGTTAATGTTTGCTCTTACTTATGGACAGGAGGCTGAAGAGGGGTATGCTTCTGGTGAGGAACAGGACCACAACAGGTACGTCAAGGAAAACTTGAAGGTGGTTACTCAACCTTAAAGTACTCTGGTGATGTTGGACATCAAGTGCACATTTCTATCTTCAACTGGATATCTTCAAAATTTTAACCTATTTCATACGTGTCCATTTGTAAACTGTTGTTGTGTAGCTCTGTGCAGACCTTCAACTGTGCCAACGATGAGCATGAGGAGACTGACAGTCAATCATCTGCCAGGTAAAAAAAAATAGCTTTTAAGTTATGACTCACTCAAAAGCTCATCATTAAATGATCATTTTACTGCTTTTGGCAAATTTTGGTAGTTACCCCTGCTGATGGTGTGAGGACTCAGTCACCAGTGGTTCATTAAAGAAACTGAGAAACTGTGATGGTTTTGGTGCTCCAAGTGAATCATTGCCTTTCTCCCATACCTGTGTGAATTTATTTAAAGGTTTACAACATAACCAATAAACTGTAAAAAGTAAACCAAAAGGATTTGGGGGACAGAGTGTTTAATAATTTTAACCTTATTTCGTATCTATCTCGCAGCACTATGAGTAACCTACATAACTGTTCTCCCTGTAACTACAAAATATGTGATAAAATCATTCCACTTTTCTTTGTTTCCTTACAGCTCTGAGAAGGACGAAAGTCAAAGAGGAGAATGAGGGGGAAGAAGAGGAGAACAGCCATTTAAAGATATGCTTCACCTGCTCCTCTTAGGACCCTCAACATAAGAGGACATTATCCTCTGTTGGCATTAATCATTGCAGGTCACTTTCTTGGTATTAGTCAGTTTCATCACCAACGCATTAATTCTAAAAATGTCAATTATTTACTTTTTTGGACCTCTACATTTAAAATTATGAATCACAGTCATGCAAGATTTTGAATCACCTCTACATCATTTCCTTTTAAGTCGGTGTAAAATCATTTTCTTACAAAAATGATTGTAATAAAATCTTATTTTTGCAAAAAATTAAGTAATAGTATTAGAAAAGAAACAGTGTTGATGAACCACATATCTGGGTAACACAAGTCTCAGTCTTTTCTTAGTCCTGATACCTCCAAAAATATGGTGCTAAAGTGCCAACATATTAAGTTTGATTCAATCAGACGCTACACATTCCTAATTTTAGCACAGAAAGCTAGCTGGTCATGCCAAACTAAACTACAACTCTATTATACCTTGACTCTAATATTCCTACAACCTAATTCTGATAACTATATAACTTGATTTCCATATAGAACTTTGTATTTTCATATTTTATTTCTGTTTTATTTTTTTGGTTTATTCCTTTTATTATGTGACGGCGCTCTGTGAAAAATTGTACTGAATAAACTTGACCCATTTAAGAACTTTTGTTTGTTCCTTTGGATGTTGTTAAATTTATTTTAAGAGAAGTTATTCTCACTTAAGTTCACATATTTAAGTGTAACAAATACAGTTTGCATTCTTAATCACTACACACAGTGTAACACAGCATACCTCACATTAACAGTAAACTCAAAAATAACAACACAAAAGCTTGGATTGAATTGGCCACTCCAACATCCTAATGATTTACTGTCTGGCCTCGAAAAGTGATGGTTGTTTTGCACAAATTAAAAAAACTGCAAAAGACCCACTGATGATCACAGCAGTTTGTTCAATTACCTTGTAATAATAGTAGTAATACATTTTATTTGTTAGGGCACCTTTCAAGGCACTCAAAGTCACCTTACAGTATACATAGAACACAATACAGAACATTATAAAATAAGAAAATTAAATCAAAATCAAATCATGGGCAGGAGGGACAGAGAGGTGGGTGGAGGAAGATGATCTTAGTGGGCAGGCGGGTGTAGCGATATGGAGGAGGTCAGACAGATACAACAGGTCGAGGTTGAGAATGACCTTGAAGGTGAGCAGTAGAGTCTTGGGGGTGATATGCGATATCACCAAGATTATTTGGGGGTCTTTTGATAAATTAATTTTAAAAAAATAACAGAGTGGGAAACTGGAGTGTGGGGGATTGTAAATATTTTTGTGGAAAACTTAAAGGCATTAGAAAAATACAATGAACACACTGTCAATCTTGCCCCTGATGGTCTTGTTTGCTTTTAGATATCACAAAAAGGCAGCAATATGAATTTAAGTTTGTTTTATAAACATTAAAAATTCCTTATAGTAGCTTTAAATGAATAAATTAATGTTTTGTTTAAGGGCTGCTGTGTTGGTAGTTTGATGTTAACTTGCAGTCTTGTAGTTATGAATGTGTTTCATGGCCGCCTCCAACAGGATGTGAAGAAGACTGCACAGTAGTGAGGCCTCTAAAGCCTCTTACCTAACATCTAGTGGACACAGCCAGTAAAATTACAAAACATCTGTTAAAAAATTCATCTTTTCTATCTTAAAGGCCTCACTAGCCTTTTAGATAAATATCATTTTCTGTGTGGTGAACCCCTTCCCCCCATTAAAAAAGCACTTGTAACAAAACACTGATGATTGAAATAACAAGAGGTGGTGCTCTGGTGCTCAGCATAATTTATAAACCACAATAGAGGTCAACATGCATAAGGCTGTTGAGATCAGCCTTCACAGGTATACAGCTCACGTATATGAACCACAGGCTCAGGAGGGCTGAGCCTTTATAAGCACGTAGAGAAACTGAAATAGAAAAGGTTCTCATCAGTGGTCTGCTCATAAACCTCATTTCTGTTCTACATCACAGACAAGAAGCACTGCAGGGTGACTACAGATGGCTTAATGTACTACTGAAAATTTTGCTTAAAACTCTGAAACGGACAAACAGACTTAAAGGATGTTGATGACCTGTTAGATATTCTTGATCTGACCCTCAGCTGAGGTGATACAACAAGATCTACCAACATGGACAAAAGGTAAAGTAATGGCTTGTTTTAAACATCTATATGATTGACAGATGTCTGACTTACCTGCTTATATGGATGTAGGAGAACTAACTAATTTACATACAAAGTTATGCATAGTAAGTTAGCATTTGTGTTTAAAGGGTTTTTGAGTACTGCTCCTTACAACATACAAACGTGATAACCAACGAGTACTGTAATCATTTCTTAAGGGGCAGAAGGACAAAAAACGGGATATTTGAAACAGATAACTGAATAACTTGGAGGGAGAAGTTTTATTTCTCTTTAGCTAAATTGCAGAGCTGCACAAGTAGGGAGACTAGAGATGGTTGCACCATTACCGAGCAAGTGCAAAAAATGGCTTCGAGATCCGCTAAGTTTCAAGTAAGTAGTAATATTGTAGGTTAAATCCACCAAGCTTTTGTTGAAGTGTGTAAAAGTACTTGTTTTTGTGTGTGAACTGACCACTATCAACATTTAGTTGATAGTGGTCAGGCAGCTGGCATTTAGCTCTCACCCGTATCTTTTGTCACTGACGTAGTACAGTTTGAAGATTAGAATCAAATTTCTTGCATTTTCGCCTCACATTTTTGATGATATTGCAGATTTCCATTCAGTGTGTGAACAGCGCTGAGGGTTTTTCTCGTGTGATCGTGTATGAAGACGAAACATTCCCCTTTCCCCCACCGAAGGTAGGATTCGTAGTGTAAATCCAGCTGCACATTTCCAATTTAGTTGAATGTTTTAACTGTGATAATGTGTTTTTGCTTTTATTTATTTTTATGTTTATTTATATTTTCTTCTTTCCTGCATGTTCATGAACCTGGAAATAGACTGCCCCTGAAGAAAAACATGGCGCCTGCAGGTCAGTCAAGCCGTTTTTTTTGTACTGTTTTCAGTCAAATTTAACACAGAAACTTGCTCTCTGAATAATCAAAAAGCCATTCCTATGCTTTTGTATAACTAAAACACTGATTGTTGGAAAAAGTGGCTAAGAAAGAAATCAAAAAGGGAAATTTTTTTTTTGTTGTAGCGTACAAACCAAACGGATGTAACCCAGCAGAACAGCTAACCTAAGTGTTCAGTACCTGTGCATTAAAAAAGTGTTGATTATTTCCAGGTATCCCATGTTGTGCATTTTAAAACATTTAAAAAAGAAAAAGCTGTATTTTAAAAGCTGCAAAGAGGATTTAAAATGTTAGGTTTTTGTACAGAGGGTTTGTCTTCTTACCTTTCTTTTCATAAAATGGTTACAAAGAGAGAAATGAAATGGGGTGTGGGGGGCATGCAACAAACATGTGCACCATGGCTGCACCATGTCAGGGTTGTAAGCACAAGCCTCACTTGTGGATGTGGGTCCCTACTGCCACCCTCATGGAGTCTTCAGTTAGTGACAGTTTGCTCCTGGACCCTCTTGATATATTACCACTAACCCTTGCAGCGATCTCTCCTAAAACTAATATCATCTGTGCTTACTTCCATTTATTCTAAATACATGCAATGTGCTCGATGAAAGATACTGTTGTAGTCCTCAGCAACACCTGCTAATGGTTTTACATCTGCATATCTCCCCCTGCCATTTTTGTGCTTTAGCTCTACGCAGACTTTTCAAACATTCAAAGACGATGGTGATGACAATGATGATGATGATGAAACTGCCATGGATTGGAGTCCTGTAGGAACTGACATTGCTTCAGTGGAGAGGTACATTTTCCCATGTTTCTCTATAGGTGTCACATTTTAGAAGTTAAATAAAAAAGAGAAGGACCCAATTGCAGAACCAAAACAGATTTATTTAAAAGGAACTAAAACAAATAAAAATTACCATAAAAGGTCCAATTCAAAATCCCAAATCAAAAAAATGCACCGAGGGAAAAACACACAAGAAGACACTGGAGACACTGAAGATTTACAACACACCACACACATTCACAATGAACCAACAAAGAAACAGGGGAAGACAAGGGCTGTTTTCAAATTGGCCTACCGCATACTGCTGCCGACCGCAGTATGCAGTAGATACTACATACTGAGTACTGTGTTCGACAGTAGAATGCAGTATGACCGCAGTTATGTAGTATGCTTGGCCTGGTTTAGCTGGCTTCCGGTATGGAAAAGTACATCATACCCTGGTAAATTACAACAACACTACAGTGTTGCCAATTCATTTATGCACTGAAAAAAAATTACATATTAGGTGTTTTAATTTGATTTTTTCGGGATTTTTTTAGCCAGATACCAGACATCAAAACGTGTTCTGTCCATGCAATGACTCGTTGATCTGGCGGCATATGATTCTCATCACGGCACTGTAAATACAGCAAAGTTATGCTGTCAGTTATTTTGTCCTTGTTTCCTGCTTAAATGAAAGAATTTGCAATCCTCTCTAAACGTCTTAACTGACGGCGTCTGTGTGGTGTGGTTTTATTTCCCCTTGTCTCGATAGTTTGACAACTACAGTGAAAACCCTGTAATACAAACTCTTCTCTCCTGTCAATTTATTTCAAATACCACCTTGGCTGCTACCTGAGCCTGTCTGCTTTAACATTTAATCACCTTTCTGCATTAAAGCTTTCGACCTCCTCTAATGCCAGCTGCCTGTCCAGCTGTGTGATGTAAACATTGCTAAAGGCACGTGCTGTGTGTAGTAAACTTCATGCATACCGTACAGTATAAAGGACAAGGAGAAGACGGAAAATTTGAGGCAGTGGATATAGAGGATAAAAACTGTATGGTATGATAACAAAACATGACATTCTTGTCAGTGGTTTGCACACATAGGGCTCTATTTTCTCGCCTCGCCAATGGCGTGGCGTAGGCGCAGCTTAAGACAGGTCCGCCGCGCTGACAAA